CTGTGTTGGCTTAAACACAAAATATCTAGGGCTTTGTGTGCCCACTGGAAATTTAACTCAGTGCTATACATTCCATGAACATGTTTTGATGAAGTCACTGTCTTCCAATTTAGAAATGAGGTTCAGTTCACTTCTACATTTAAAATTTTTACTTTTGGGGGAGGCCTGACTGGAAACTACTTGACTTGAAGTTATGATAGACCGAGTGCAGCGAGGTTCGTACAACACGATCAACTGCCAAGTATGTTCCTTCAATAATAATAATAGGTATTTTATTATATTACGGCTGCTTCTTCCCTACCTACGTTTTCCTTGTTTTTTTCCTTCTCGAGATGACGAGAACACTAGGTAGGGTTTTTCCGTAAGGTTTTTCCGGCCCCGTTCATGTCATCACTCTTTCACGAAAATGTTTCATACTGTTTTTCAATAAGAGCGCACTTGAGGTCTTAACAGTCCATAGGTTATAAACTTGAAATGATTTTTTCACTGATACAGAGGCTTCTATGTTAATTTCGCGCTTGAAGGGCAAAAGAGTCTCTAAGAAGACATGTCAAGTGTTTACCGCAATTTATGCAACAAAGGGTTTGGCAGTTACCAACCAACAAAATGAACAGCTCGAAGTTTTCTTTTTAGCCAGTTAGCGGAGCACTGCACCAGTATCGCAAATGTCATTGTTTTAATTTCTGTACAAACCTAAATTTTTCAGGCTTTATTTTCACTGCTGCGAGAGTTCTGCACTGCAAAATCGCTCTTATTCCATTTTTAAATCTGCAATTCATTTTCATGATATTCATCTACTCACAGTTGTTCTTAAAAAATCCTCCGTAAGGCGACCGCTTTAGAAATAATGGCTTAGTGAGATTAAAGACCCAAGGGTGGAATAGATTTGACATGCAACAAAGGAAAAAGGTTTGAGAAGAAACAATACAACTTATTTGACTTTAGAATTTAAAGTACATATCTAACAATCCCTGCTAGGAAAATAAAAAAGATAGTCGAGGCAGAAAGGATGGTTGCCGCAGGTTTGCAAGGCAATTTTTCCGGATGTATGACTTATGACGTAATTTCTGCTCTATACGCAACGCAACCAAAGATTGAACATAATGTTGGAAATGATCAAAGACTAACAACGTTGGAAAAATGGCTGGTTCCCATGTGCACCACTTTCATTTATGTGACCGCCTCTGCTCACACAAAGGCAGTCACATAGATAGACCTTTTCTCAGATCTGTCAGTTTAGTAAGTCTACGAGCCTAAGGTCATCCCGCTTGAACTAGGCGTCATGTAGCCTACAATTATTCTTCTGAAAAAAAAAAAAAAAAGGATTCACTTTTTTCGTTCTTTCCAAAAATGTGTCCAAGTGTGTCTCGGTACTTCAAATTATACTTTCACACATCAGGTGAATGCTTAAGCAAATCACACGTCGGCTGACAAGAAGCGAATTGGTCGGAGAAGAGCGCACATTTTTTAGATTATAATTTGATAACAACGGAGGGGGGCATTGGGGGCCCATTAGAAACCGCACAACCGTAGAAAAACTGAAAAAGTTCGATCAAAACCGAAAACCGCATGCAAAACTGTCAAAACCGATACATTTTCACATCCCAGTTATTAAAACCCTGATCGATCCGATACAGTGGTGACAAGTGAAGTATACAGAGTAATATAAACTACGCTAATTTCATAACAGTATTTGTGAATACCATGGACTTTGCATCTGTATCTTCTAGTATCTGTTAGAATTAACAGCTGCTCTCACGAGGACCTCGAGCGTGGTCTCTGCGGATTCAGCAGCTGGTAATGGAGCCTTATCAAATTAAGGAAATTGCACAAAAGTCGTCTATAGGATTGCAATTTGCAGTCGCAAAAAGCCATAGCTCTGAAAAGTTTCATCCAAAATTCCTAATCTAACATTTCCTTGTGCGAACTAAGACCTGAAAGTTTGGAGATTCTATCGGAATGTTTAGAGGAAGAGAAGAGAAACCGGAACCCAAATGGGTCTAATTGGAAAAACCGAAAACCGCATCGGATATCAAATCCGAGAACCCGTTAGTATTTTTCGCGAAAACCGAAAACCAAATGCTAAAAGGGGAAAATCCACAAACGACAATGAACAACGAAACCGAAAAACCGAAAAACCGATCCAAAAAACAGCCAAAACCGCGAAACCGAAAATCCCAGTACTCACAAAGCATTAGACACTTTTATGCACAACGAAACGACCCACTGGGTGAGGAGTTCTGAGAGTAAGCTTCTTTGTCGCGCTTCGAGATTTACATGCTTCCTCATTTACTTCACAATCTGAGAAGAAGTTCTTGACAACGATCGACTTACTTATTACCAGACCACTTTGAAAGGTTACTCTTTGTTTTATTCATATCTACCTGTGGACACTAATTTACAAACTGTATCTTTTTCTTTTGGATACTCATAAATCAGACCTCTATATAACCATAGTTACCTTTTTATTATATTTACTTGATAATAATTTTTTCGTTAGACAAGGCTCATGAATATGATGTCTGTCCTTTTAAAACCCTAAATCATCATTTGATTATAAGAGACATTTTACCTTTGCCATCAAAATACTCTCTAAACGCTTATTCACCAGAATCATAGGCTCTCATAAGTCCGGTGGCTTCCTGGGTCTCCTCGCCTTCTATAGCTACAACCGCTGTCAATAAATTTTTGTCTTGTGTAAATAAGGCAAAATAAAAGATGATGAAACTGCTCTTCTTGAAACGTCTACTGCAACCAATTTTCCTTTCTTTTTACTTGTCATCTGAAGATGATGTGAAAGAAAGGCTATGACACGACTAGCCTGAACAATAAGTATCTGTATTATGCTCCTTAAATCGATATAACTAACTCATTAATCATTTACAGCTAGTGAAAAACAACTTTTATTTTCAGCGGTCTTTGTATTCCTCTCCCCTTGTTACACATATCTCTATCGGGTCTTCGAATGTTTCCAAGCCGATGCTACCGCTTGATTTTCCACTAACTATAAGGGAAATCAGAGGGAGAAAGGTTGATTAGGCGCGCAGTAAATGTACTTGCCAGTAGAGGAGGGAAAGGTTGCGCACTTCCTTATTTGGCCTACAAGGATATGGTCTGTCAAGCATGGTATGATCTCAGTAGGGATCTTGATCCTTAAGATAAGCATGCATATACCTCTTTCTGTTCCACGTGTAAACACGAACGAGCCCCCAAATGTATTAGACCTCGTATCTGAGTAAGAAATCAGCAAGAAATTAGCTAATGACCACCTCTTTATAATTTGATCGAACCTAAGCCTTTGATCTTTATTTGAATTATTCTTTACTTCTATTTTTATTTCTGACATATCACTCGTCTACAACATACCTGTACCTTCTTCCTTTTTCCGTTGATCACGAGTCTTTGTCAAATCCCATGCACTGCCAGCAACAAAAATCACTGCTACTAGTCCCACAGAGGCATAAATTATGATGGCAGCCGTGTCGTCCTTTTGAAAGTCTTTTATCTTTCCATAATCATCCATCTTAATATCGCAGTACTTTAACGAATCACTGCTTTTTTTCAGCTTGAAATGGATCACAATCTTCAACGTGTTTCTTCACATTATTCTTAACACACTGCACAAGGGACTGAACTGGAAATGTTTCATTTGCAAGGTAGAGGCATGTGGTATTCACCTTCATTTCAGTTCCAATTATGTGGCGCTTCAGAGCCTTCACAATCTGCTTGTCACGATCCACACCCTCGCCTGCCTTGCAGCTGTAATACACAATTCGTTGCTTATTTCCATTCGCCAAGTGAGTGTCAAGATCTTGCGAGGAATTCATCTCTAGAAAAATTTAAAAGTAGAAACAAAAAGAAAACGGTTTTGAATATCACACATAAATTTCTTCGATATCATTTCTGTCTTCACATGGATCTAGAGGACAATGGCTCTGAGGAGATTAGAGTTCAATCAGCAGCATATTGCATCAGATTTAAAATGCAAAAATGTGGTTCTAGAAGGTTGAAGTTGAAACATTTGTGCCAAATCAGTTACAAAAGAACCAGCACATTTGCTTGTTCTATAATCAGAAGGAGTTTGATTTCAGCTCATACTTTAAGCTTCTCTTCAAGATGTACTTGCAGTATATTGTTGCACATTTTGCATGCATAATGCAAGGGTTGGTTACTACTGACCATTTAGTGGCAGCAGTCTGCTTTTTATCTTTTTTTTTTTTTTTTTTTTTTCTTAGAAAATTGAAACTCAGTTTGACAGATGACTTTCCATGAATGCCTCTTTCCACCTATACTATTGTCCAAATCGTTTGAACTGTATTTCAGGTCTTTGGAGAGATTTATTTACTAGATGGACCCTGAAAAGTGTAGCTACTTTCATGTTTGATGTTTTCCTTGCAGGTCTTGCCAGATTTTGTGAGAGCATCATTGACTATGTTGCAAATGCAGAGAGTGCGCCGTACCCTAATATCACAGTTGACAGGTTTTATGGTGAAATATCGTCAGCTTATGACATTTTATTTAGTGTGTGGATCAGAGCCAGTGAGGCCAAGGCAAGAAAAAGCTAAGAACATCTTTAGTTATTGACAGTACAATACAGGACAGAACTCTAATATAAAACTATATAGTTTTCAAACACCTTGACGGCCTTAACCCGACCCTCGTTTCTAAAGGCTGTTTCTCACACATTTTGAGAAAAACTTAGCCAATTCAGTTAAATCTCCTCATTTATTCTTAAAATGAGAAATTACTTCATTGTATGAGATGTACTAGATTACAAAACCAAAATGTAATTTACATTAAGAACGTGCTGAAACAGGTTTCCCTCCCTAATTCAATCAAATCTGTGGTTTAAAGGCTGGCATATCCCAAATTTTTCTAAGTTGAGGTTGAAGGCTTATTCTTCTTGAGTTGTCAACAGCAACAGAAATAAAATGAAAATAAGGTACAGCTTTCGGTCAGGATCGTGATCTTTCGCTGCAATAAGGGGCCGTTTAAATTACCTATGATTTTTGCGCCTCTGAACTCCTCCTGAAAGTACTGCTTGCTGCCATTAGGGACTCCGATCTGTAAGAGAGCATAAGGGTAGAAAAGTTTAGGTTGTTGCGTCGTTAACAGGGAAACTAATTAACTTCGAAACAAGCCCGCGCTAGCGATAGGTACGAAGATTCTTATGCGTCTTTCTTCTTTTTTGTATTGCCTTTTATAGCCTCCTATTGCTGCCACTGTTGTTGCCACTACGGGTCTATTAAATCGCCTTTATAGTGCATACCCTTAAGAATTCTCTCAGTGAACATGTTTGGGTTATAGGCCGACTGACCTTGGGGAGACCTTGGGGAATTAAATCTCTTGATCGAATTGCGCCAAATATTTTCAGCATCACAATTATCAAGCAACAACCCCTGTTCACGTCGATATATGTCCTCCGATTATTCATATCAAACTCATGGGGTACAAATAGTCTTAACATGAATGTAGTGACCACGTCCACTTCAACACCCCACTCAAATCGAGTGTAATTTTCGAATGTTTTACCATCGTGCGGATTCTCTACGGAAAAAGCACTCAATGTACCTCTGAAATATTAAACTATAATATTGTGGCTTTCTATTTCGCTAATTTTCTGACTTGAAGGTAAAGTTTTTCCCTCGTCATTTTTACCTTTTCTCCGAGCGGTTGCGTGAAATTAACAAGGCGTTTTTGATCAAAACACGACCGAGCGAAGGGTCTCGGGCGATATCTCTTTACGCAGGCGCAAATTAAAAAATGTACCGCCAGAATCAAAAGGAGGAACAAATTCCTTTGTTTTGATATGTAAAGTGTCGAACAAAAGCAGATTTACCTTCGTCAAATGGCGTTTCAAAACAGCTGTATCTTCCTCCTTTTGATTTTTCTTGTTTTGTAAGCGTGAAAGCAGTAGGAGAGGGATCGGGAAACTCAGAAAGCGCTTCGGGAATTAATCTGCCATCGTTTACTTACAAGATAAACAAGTAAGATTTGTGAAGTTCATTGAAGTATGAAGTATGAATAAATGCCTTTTTAAAGCTTGTTTGCTGGATTTTTCGTAAACTTCCCTGATTAATTTTTCGTTTCAGCTTACTAGTCTATACTATTTCAAAGCAATGTCAAGACGAAGACGGAGAACCATGAGTCGGTCCTTTCAACAATCGTAAACAAAGTGTTTGAGCAATCAGGTATACGAGGTGTAATAATCAATAGCCGCATATCTGAAATCTTCAGAAAGAAAGTATTCTGCCTTCAGAAAGCTGTCAACAAAGCTAATAATCGTGGTGGAAGGCAATGAAACGGGCCCTCGTTATCGATTTAATATCATATCGATCTCAATATCATACAGTTTTGTATCTTTCTTCCGTGGATTCGCCTTTCTAACGAGGGTGTATGTTGAGAATTCATTGCAAAATCGCTTTGTGTTTTTTAATTTCCCTCTTTAACCTGTCCGCCATTTTGAAAATTCGTAACGGAGAGCATGCGTATTACGTGGGGTTAGTGGTTGCGTACACCTGGAACCGAAAAACAAATGTTCGTCGCACTGGGGAAAGAGTTTGATATGTGCGTCGAAAGTCAGCGGAGAAAAGCCACCTCAAGAATTTCACTTTTCATCATCATTACTTTATATGGAGGAAAAAACGAACTCGTTTGTATAGTCCGGTGGTAGTGACATCAAAAAAGCTGATTTGAAATGCTGCTTCGGACAGTACAAAAAAAAGTCAACAAAATTTTCTGTCAAAGCGGGATACGGAAATTAGCAAAAGAGTTCTAAAATAAATAACACCTGTTCAGGCGTGCTGGTCTGTCGGCTTGGTGCTTTGTTATAATTATGAGTTCTTTTTAAAGTTGTTCAAGTTTTACCTTTGCGTAATTTATAAAGCTTGTTTGTCGAACAGCGACTTCTGTCGGTGGTCATATTTGGTTTTGTCTCTTGACCTGAGCTTCGCTTCTCGGCCAAATATTCATTTTTCGGAAAATGTCGCAGCGGCGGGCATTATCAGTCGATTTACCAGCCACCTGAGGGGTTTGTTTACTAAATATGAAGCCCATCTTTGAAAACTAGAACCGAAAAAAGTTTTGGTGCTTGTCCAACCTGACCAACTGAAACAACGAGGATCATATCGCGCAAGTCGCTATTGCTGAAAATGAACATTACATTCAAGACTTCATCGCCCGATAAAGCCTAATACCATGCACAAAAAACGTCGCAATGTAATTTACAGGGGATTAATCGTGAGACTTTCGCTAATATTTGAATTTTTTTTTTCCTTTTGTGCGATTTGAACAGTTCAACATAATATCCTGTAACATCTTGCAAGCATTATTCAGTACCTTTCATGCTTGAGATTCAAAATTATGCAAAATTAAACATACATGTCATTTACACGAGGACAATTGAGACAAAAAGTAATAACGATTTAAAGATATAATTACAGATCGATTCAGGAGAGAATGGTGAGGTTTTGTCTGACTTGCTGTCAATATGGAGGAAACTTCAGCTGCGAATATGGAGAGAATGATCATACCGATTATCATCCAAGCTGCAGCATAAATACGAGCTAGTGAAGACTTGGGGACTTGTCTCCATATCTTGAAAAGAAAGGAAAAAAAATACAGTTGTTTAGATAGTAGAGTTAACTTTTTTGTACAGTTTCTCTAGGTATGCATTACAGCAGTTCTCTAAAATCCGGCCAGAATGATCCGTAAGAAAATATTCTAGTTATCTGGTCTTCACACGCCCAAAGTAAGATAAATCAAGTAATCATCAGCAACCAGTCATCCTACAATTTTTGCCGCTTGAGTGAATAAATTTGCATGATAGAATTATCTAGAGTAGGTGATTTCCACAAACCCAACAGTAGTCATGGTAACCACTGCCCACCACGTTCCTTCGCGAACGCCTTCCCAGAAGGACCGTGGAAACTCCTCAGAGTTTTTTCGTCGATCCTGAAACCGAAAAGTAAGCTCTGATGAATTGAAAGATTCTTTGTCGAGAAAGCTAGCTTTTGAATGCAAACCTCGTAGAGAAAAATGTTTCTGAAGGGTCTTGATATTAGCAGGCTAGTCAAGAACTTAAAGAAAGCGACAAAACTTTTAAGTCTTTTAAGGCGTGATCTAAAACATATGAGCTATCTGCTGAACTCAAAGCGCGACAATGTTCAGAATCTCGCTGATGTTTGAAAATGTGAGAGGCCCTGTCACTGGAAGTTGAATTTATATAGATAGAAAAATGCTAATTATGATAAATGGTGACAACAAGAAGGAGGTAAAGCATGAAAGTGTGATAATTAAAAGGATAGTTTGAGATTTACATGGCACGTTTCGCGGAGGTAACAGGCATTACAGCCAACACATGCAAACTTATAAACCACACGTAAACGGAGCCCGTCGGCATCTTTCCACGCGTGTTAGAGAGCACTCACATTTTCAAACATCTGCAAGATTCTGAACATTGTCGCGCTTTGTGTTCAGCAGATAGCCTCCATGTTTTGGATCACGCCCTCCGGTTTTCAACTCAAGATAAAAGAGGTTAGTCATATTCAAAGAGAACAACCCTCTTTGAATCAACAATTACACCATGTAAGGACGTTTCCAAAGACCCTTTGAAGCATCACTCTATTTATTATAAATTCAACCTTCAACGCTTTGTATAGTAATCAACTGAAGATGACAGAAGTTTCTGTCGAAACATGTTTTACAAACTTAAAACTTTTGTCGTTTTCTTCAAAAACCTCGTAGAATTGGAATTTATTGAAAATATATGGCGAAGGAATAACGGAACAAACGTTGTTGAGCAATCGATAAGGGAGATCGCCGAGGCACGATGGTTGGATTGGATGCAAATGTCATGACCAAACGGGTAGCATATGTTCAGTGAGTCCTTAATATACTACGCCATTTTCTTACCAAACCATCCTTGAGTACGCTGAGGATCGGCGATAGTTTGATTTATCATACAGTAATATCGGGCCTCACTTGAGACAATAGAACATGATTTGAAATAGGTAAAAACAAGTACCAGATCAATACCCATTGTATATCGAGAGGGAGACTGATCAACTTACCAACAGCCATATGATAACTCCTGATATCAACGTCCAAGTGACACAGATACAAATTATTGGCCAGAGATGGGCAGCAGAATAGGAAACCACCGTTACGATATCATTGTTTCCTTCTTTCATAACTAAGTAAGCTGGTGGCGCGTTTAAACCACACACAAATGTTTTTTTCTCGCAGTTTTTCTCTCCAGTAAAGACAGGGTAATTATACGTGATCAAACAGTTTAAGGGCGCTTTTGGCCGTGTTCACCACAAATGCGACATCATCCGCAAAATAAATTCCCGCGTTTTTCCCAACTGTGTTTGAAAGCACTAGGTAATTCTTTATCCTCCGGCCAAAACTTTGGCTCCTCCCAGTTAACCGAAATGTTTGTTGACTGAGAGGTAGTAAGGACATTTTCAGTACAATTGATTCTGCAATTTTGTTGTAAATTCTGCTTTGCCACATCAATCTTAGAATCGTTTACAGAAGAAGCGCAGAGCTCAAGAAGCTGCCTCACGCACGTAAAGCTGTAAAACCGTGGAGGTAACAGATGCGAAGTTGCCTCACTGCAACAGTTTGTTAAATTTATGTTTGAATTATCCTCACAGCAGAACTTATAGCACATACTTTCGTCACCTCGGATGTCAGTCCAACGGGTGAGTAAGACTCCAATTATTGCAAGAAGAGACGCAACAGTTTTCATTTTGTGAGTGAAGGATCCTTTTTGCTTCGATACCTCGACGATGTATTCGAAGTGTTTTAAAACAAATATTCATTAGTGTTCTATGTGTGACAAAAAGTCCCAGATGTTTTTACTCATTAATGTTTTTAGACTTTTCATTAGCAAGTTAAAAGAAAACGGGCTTCTGCTGCTGCTGAAGAGAAAAACATCCTGAGTCACGGCTGAATGACATTAATTAATCAAATATAATTTTTGAGATGTATTTTCTTTGTCTTTATGAAAACTCGCCAATAAAGGTTTCAACTCTTCTCTTGACGATAACTAATTTTAAAAGTTATTTATGGCACATTTGTATGGAAATCGACACCAATGACGCGGATATTACTGGATAAAAAGGAGGTCTTCATTAGCGTCTCTCTGTGAAGCGTTCACAATGGATGCCATAGAGAACAGGTAGACATGAAGGTATTCTTGAGGCTCCCCGGAGACCCAGATGCGAACACTACATTCATGGAATATGAAATGTTCTTTTTAGGCTGCTTAAATTCATGAAAAAGTGTATTTTACTATTTTCAAAATTATGATGATGCAAAGGTGAGCAACTAACACCTGCAGACAAACTAATATTGATTACTCCCTTTCCATCAAGTTATTGCCCTGGATGGTATCATGACGCAAGTACACTGTGTTATTTTATGTTGATCTTTCCCATATGTAATTTTATGCCATCTCCTTTGACGTTTACGCGACTTCCCTTTAGTGGTCATTAATATGTAATGCAACTAGATTTTTGACAATTCCCCCTTCACCTTTTTCAACAAAACAAGGTTTTAACAAAAAATTAATTTTATAATGCTTTCCCCACAAAAGTTTCAATTCGGACGGCATCTGCGTCGCATGAGAAAAGCTTTTGAAGATTAAATGCCTATAACAGCAGGCAAAAGTTTTTTTTTCTGAAACGTGTAATGAGTTGTAGCTGTTGTAATTTAAAAAGGAAAAAAAAAACATCTTCCTCCGCTCAAAGTTTTCCATTTCTATAGAATAGGAACAGGTTAAAAAATAAGTCAGAAGATTACTGGCTTCCTATCTATTAATTCCTTTGCAACTAAAGAAATCATTTCAATGAATTGAACATATTGCATGAAACCATAAATGACAGATGTGTTGGCAAACTGTGTGCTATATGTTTTGTATGTGCTCAGTCGCTTAGCAGGCTGAAATAAGTTGACTTAACCAGTTAGCATGCCTCCACGTTTCCTCTCCATTTATTCATTTATTCGTTCATTCTTCCATTCATTCATGGAAGAATTCGTTCACAAGGATTTGTTATCATTGATATCCCTACTGAGAAGAACAATGTTTACACTGCAACTTTATCCAAAAGAACTCGGAAGCTGCTAATCATATACTAAAAACATTACATTATGAACTGTTTTAGAAAAACTAAAACAGCTCAAATGACTAGGTCGTAACACTTAATCGTGTCTTTTGACTTAAGGTTTTCTCATAATAAATTTTGATATCTAAAACTTTAAAGAATTTCCTTCATCAGAGATCTATTGTAGAGAATCTCATTCGGTCAACTTCTCTATGTGAATACTAATATGAATAGATTTACATGATAGGTTTTACTAATTAAAAGCAAAATTTAATAAATATTTTCGGTGGTTTTTCAGCAAGCCCTCTAAAAACTGCGTGAAGATTTGTGAATAAAAGTTAGGTAACAGTGAGGTTAAACAGTAAGTAACCCGAAACTAAACCCAGATGGTGAGTAAAAGTTCCTAATATAAGAACGGTATCGAAGTACGGTATGCTTTAACGGGTTACTTTAGTGTGCAGCTATCATCATTGCCGTTGCTTCACAGTGCAAGGATAAAGAGACTTCAGAATATTTGGCGCCGTTTTCATAATTGGTGATTAGAATGGGAAGTAGGGCCCTAAGGAGAGGATGTTAAAGTTTTCTTTTTTAACTTACCAAGAAAATGTCGTGGTCATTGCACTTATTGAAAAAGCGCATTCGCCTGCCTAGTTAATTAGTAACGCCAGACTGACGGAGGCAGGTGCAAGGCAAAAGTGTTAAAGTGAAAAGTAATATTTTAATCGCTGACACCTACATAATTCTGCTTGGACATTTATCAGATCGTTGAAATGTTTATATCTTCCACTCTTCGCTTCTTTCTCGCTTTAATCCTGGTGGAAGGCCTCTCACCACGCTTGCGGACACAAAATAATCGCATTTCTATCTGTTGCGCCTCTGTGAAGTTTTTTCTTAAAATAATTTCGAGGAAAGCTATTGTTATTGAAAGCTATTATTGGATTGGCAACCGAATTTTATATTGGAATAAACCCTCCGATGAATAAAATGATATATGTAATATTCAATCAATATTCAAACCTTGGAAAGAACGAGCCGAATAACAGTTATGGGAAAGTAAAATAACAGCATCGTTAAAACAACATAAGTTGTCAATTTCAAGGCTTTCTTTTCTTTCTCAAACTTTTGTCTGGACTCCATCTTGACTGCAACCTGCTGGGCGCGAATTTGCGTTTGTGTCTCCGAGCTTCCTGTAGAGTACAAACTGGCCAACAATTATAATCGCTAGGGATAGCCAAAAATCGCAAGAACCGGGAAGAGGAATCTAACTTTGAAGACCAAATAAATAATCGTGAAGAGGAGATTCACGACCCAGGCGACGATGGAAGCAGCCACTATCCGTCTCTCGGTGACACCAACATTATGGCTATATGGACGAAAAATGGCAAAGAGGCGCTCGACGGTCATCAAAACTAATTGAAATGGCGAAGCCCCGCAGAAAATTCTTAGCCCGGCCATTGCTAAAAGTTAACCTGATCAAGCAAGTCGTACTAGATAAATCTCCCTCAAGGGTTGATATCACTGACATTACCACCGGAAAGTAAAAAGGTTGCACGAAAACTCCAACTAACAGATCCGTGGTTGCCAAACATGCAATAACGACATTAGAGTTTGTTCTTAGCCGCTGCCTGGTTTTCACGGCGACTGTCACCACCAGATTTAATACAACTGTGAAGGGAAATGTAACGCAGTTCAAAACCAGGGAAGAAACTAAGGCTACATGAACTTCGGGAGGTACATTATGAAGTTTGCGTTTAAAAATATAGGCTTTTACATTCAATTGGTATCTCTTGGGAAGAAGAAGCACTTGAATTCATGATTAGCATTTGAGTTGACTTTCATTCATCCCTATAAAGTTACTGGATTCAATTGACAGCTGAACGGCTTTTCGATGTTCCTTTGTCTCTCGTATTACTTAAAGATTACTGGCATATCCGTGGCCTTCGAAGAGCATTTGAATGATCAAATCCTTTCGCTGAGGAAGACTTTATAAGGATGTTACTGATAGCAATTACTACTTCAGCGTTTTCTTTTGGAGCTTTCAGCTCACGGAAAACAGAAATTGCGAAGTGTACTTGTACAAATGAGTGCATTTTTCTTTGTTTTAGGTGTAAGGACAAATCTATTAGTTAAGTGGACCGTTACTGAAGTGTCTTTTTCATATAATGATTGTAACTTTGTCTTCTTAACGGTACTGGTTTGCCAGACTTAAAAATTTAACACAATGGAGGAACACTATTGATGCAATCGTTTCCTTTAGTCAGTCTCTCCTTTTAGCGGAAGAGGCTTATGGTTTTCCCACGATCAAAATTGTAAGTGGAAATTTCAAACAATAGCCGTCATTGGTGATTTTTTGATAAAACTGATTGCTCACTTCGCACGAAAATGCCCAATTAAAACGATTAGACAGTTTATCAACCGCTTACGAATATAAAAATTGTATTAGCTTAAAATTTAACAATTCAACCAATTATCTGATGGAGGCAAGCTAGTATAGATGACGCTGAGATTAATAATAGCACGGACAATCATTTTCTTTATTCATATACGGCTCAAACTATAGGTGATCGATATAAAATAGCGGGTTAAATTGGTTCAAATAATTTTTGGGGGAGAAAACCCCAGATTTTTGACTGTAAACGTCATTAGAACGCCCTCAGCCTTTGCGGGAAGTACAGTGTTCCTCAAAACGTAAAAGCAATTTTAAGTCAGTACTGTGCTGCCGTAAGGCTTAAAGTGTGAGAAGTACTCTCACTTATATTATTAGAAATACCCTTATATATTTCTTTGAGAAGTACCCTTATATATTTCTTTGAGAAGTACCCTTATATATTTCTTTGAGAAGTACCCTTATATATTTCTTTGAGAAGTACCCTTATATATTTCTTTGAGAAGTACCCTTATATATTTCTTTGAGAAGTACCCTTATATATTTCTTTGAGAAGTACCCTTATATATTTCTTTGAGAAGTACCCTTATATATTTCTTTGAGAAGTACCCTTATATATTTCTTTGAGAAGTACCCTTATTTCCCTTCGCCTGAATGCTACATAATAAAAGCTGTGGCGATCTTTCAGCAAAACAGTACATGATAATGACGAATCCCTCGATCTTCACTTAATCGCCGTAACAATAATTGCTAGAATGATATATATCAGCGAGATATCGCAGGAAAGTTAAAATATTATTCCGTTGATTGATTCTTGCAAATTGTCAAAAAACGGTGTGGCATATTGTATTACCATGTATCGTCGGATCAGCTACGCCGCCTGTTTTCAGTGTTTATCACTCGTATAATTACAGACCGAATTGGTATCTACTCGGCCTTTCTGCGGCAGACCGCTAGCAAAGTAGACTACCTTTTTTCGTGGCTTATGCTCTCGAATCTTCAAAGCGCATTCAAAATGGCTAGTTACACGGGCTAGCGATACATTGGAAGGAAAATGCGCGAATTTTATGATTATCGTTTGCATTTTTTGAAAAAATATACTTATTGATCTTTTTTTTCAGCCTGAAAATTTAGAGGCTTAGCTGATGTTACCTTCAGTCTCCCTACGCAATACTTCTCAAATTACTGCATAAGATGTTTAGTTCACAATTAGATGCGTGCATGTGTCTGTTCACTAATAGATCACAGATGACCTCAAAATCTGTTACAAATAAACTCGTTGCAAACGAGGCGCAGCCAGGTGTGTGTATAACTCAGTTTAAAATATAATTCTTATAATCTATACACTCATACCTTATTATCTATAATTTGATTCATATAATCGACAGCGGTTTTATTCTCACGATCTCTTAACTCTCTCATGATATCAAACTTCAAACTTTTTTGCTCTTGGACACCAATTTCAAATGATCTGGCTCTTAAAAACTTTCATTAGGATCTTTGATTCATGAAGATCACTACAGCGATTTTCAAGACTTAAAAACAATCCCTGAAACTAAATGAGAGACAGAATCATGGCCCTCCCTTCGAACTTGTTAAAAATCGACTGACACTCGCATTATGTTTTCACCGTATTTCTATCATATTCTATTGATAAATAGAATGGTTTGTTTTGCTTATTTAGTTATTATTTATTGAACTGATTTCTTTATTCAGTTGTTTGAATTAATATTAATTAATCTCTTTCATTTTTATGATTGATCTGAATTCTTTCACGAAACTCGATCGATCTACATTAACATCTCCTTACCGACTTTTCCATATTTTTATTTTTTGGTGGGATCAAAGCGGGCAAGATAGGCCTATCTTTTCTGCTCAGGGGCCCCGTCTCTCGAAAGTTCCAGTAACTTAACAGGCCCGAAACAATAAATAAAATAAAAATGGCATAGAATAGAGCGGAATACAAATTTAAGGGATAGAAAAGCAGGTTCTGGCATCCTATCTGGTCCATTTTGTTTCTATAGCTGATAGCATCATTGTACAATTTTCAAATCTTTTGAAAACCCCCACTTTCAATGAAAACAGAATAGTTTTAAGGGCATGTTTCGTTACCGGGACTTTCGAGAAACGGGCCCCTGGCAGGTAAGCAATCATAACAAAGATTTCGCTTCATTTTGACCACGGCCCTGCCAGTGACTTTTTTACAACCATTCAGCAAAGTGGTGGTTGTTAGTGGTGCATATTTACCTAGTCGTGAAGAGGCGTGGTGAATTATTGTTTTAGTATTGACTGAAACAGTGAGATAATATAGCACTAAAAGAAGGGCTTTGACTTATTTATTCCTGTAAACATTACATTTTTGGGAGGCGCAAATCCAGTGCGCGTTCCTCGGAGATAACTAGCAGGGGATATTCAGAGTTTGAGTAGCCAATCAGAGTCCGCCTTCAACACTATTTACTACGTTAGTTTATACTTAAATAAAATAGATTCATCGTGACCTGGAAAGACCTATCACACTTCCCATCACCATCTTTTAATCTACGAAATACCTTCTATAAGGATTTTTTGTCTACGGGATCTGATCAAATCAAATGCAGTCCCAACAACTAACGTCACAACCACGAAGCTTGCTGATGCTTAAATAATGATGGCTTTCACGTCGAAAGGCTGAAACTCTTTCAGCTTGCATTAATTGCTCCTTTCAAAATCATATTTTGTCCCCTCGGAGTCATCGTTTTGATCTTGTTCTTCATTATTCTATAGTCCGGGATAATCGAGAAATCTTTTCACCTTCTTCCTCACGCATCCCGCCACCTAATCTTTATATTGATCATCGTCTTTCCTTGCGGGGTTGATGTTTTTCATTCTTATCAGTTTGATCCCAACGATGTGGGGCTCCAAGACTTGAACAATCTGCATGTTACTCATCGGTGACACTTCTGGCCTTGAGCTTTGCAGGAAAGCTCTGTTCATTGTGGCAATGGAATGACTTGTGATTTCGCTTCTTAGCAACATTTTACGAGACCGCATCGTACTGAACCGCTACAGCAAAATTTCTCACATTCTCCTCCATAACACGCAACACATCAATATGATGAAACTTAGCGTTTCATTTATTCCGCCATTTCAAGACAAAAGGGTAATATGATATTATACATGAATTCTTGGAACGATAAGGAATTAGTTTAAAAACCTGCAGGTGGTTGTTTTAATATTTCCCAGCGAAAACAGGGAGACAATACAACCATATTTTCATTTAAATTGATGAAGGGTATGTGTCATCACACATTTCAGAACCGAAGTTTTAGTTAACTTGGACATGTTCAGCAAAATCTGCATTTTGATTTGGTTTGGAAAAGTTTATGTGTGTGGAACAAGTGCCGAATTGTCCGGTCTGCCGAACACGAAAAATGGCAGCACATTTCACTGTCCATCTTTTGAAACCGTCAGGCTGCACTGGCAAGATTTTCACCCATTTACTCATTACAACTCTTCCAGCAAGAGCCTTGAAGGAGACCTCTCTCGTTATATGAATACTGCACTAAATGCTTGCTGTCCAAGACTGCGAATTTATGACGAGAAAATAAACATTACTAGCTCTTGTGAGATGGAAATACTCATTCGACGAAATCACGACAAAAATCCTGTTATCCATTTTCCAATTTTCTCTAACAAAGGAGAAACAGAGCAGCTTCAGAGGAGGTTTGTGGCACTGTTTCATTCACCGGGACCTGCGGTTTTAAAATTTGGCCACGGATCAGATCCATTTTCAAATAGATTTCTGTACCTTCTGAAGAACGTGTGGGCGCTGGTGCTAATTTCCTTTTTACACGCCTTACTTGCAGGAATAATCATATGGGCTTTGGTACGTACGTTGAAGCAAACTCGAAATTTGTTATTTATGGTCTCCTCCCGTCGTTTTTTCTCTCTTTTTATTCGTTTTAATTCCAAGTTTTGTTTGGTTTACTTTTCTTTTTTATTTTGTCGATCTAACACACCTAATGGAAAACTTATGGAATGGTATAATAGTTACCAGAAAATGAGGAAAGTGATGACCATTGTCATCACTTTTTCCCTTTTCCCGTTAACGTTACTCTTAACTTTTCCCGTTTACATTTCTACTTATTGCAAGTAATTTTGCAATAAGTAGAAACTCCATGAATAAAATTGGAACCGACTCACACTTCTCTCATCCTGCGAAAGCAAACAGTAGTTTGAAAAACAAAAGGGCTGAGGTTACTATGAATTACAAAATTAACATATGAGGTACGCATGTTGCAATCGTTGAAAAAAGAGCTTCACTAAATCCATCGAATTCAAATTTTTGTTTATTAATTTTTTAACCAGCTTTTTGCCCAGGCTGTTGCTAAAACTATGTTTCATTAAAATTACCAATTCAAAAACAAACCAGGGCGATTTCTTTCCTAGAGTCACCGAATTGATGAGGATAAAAATAATGCTTTCAGAACCATTAATCATTATCTATGTCATGGCATGACAGAAAAAAAATAATTTTTGTAATAAAAAATTTTGATATTGAGTCCTGTGGGGGAAATAATTCTTGATATTGAGTCCTGTGGGGGAAATAATTCAAGCTTCAATGCAAATTTGAATAACAACAGATGTGTACCTGTCATTTGCATCATAATCATTATGAATCAATTTTTCATAAGTAATTTTTCGAGTTCAAACAGTAATGAATATTTCCCGAAAAGTTAGACAACATTTAGCGATCTTTATAAAGCAGTAACTTCCTAGTGAAGATTAATTTCACTGATCATTTTGCATTTCCGAATGATGGTGAAGACTTATCATAATAAAACAAAACGGGATGGTACACACTTTATTTCGTAATTATGATTACCATCGTTCATTTAGCTATGCGTTGTGTCACCCAACCAAATGTAGTTTTAGATTTTTAAAAATACTCTTTTAGAAAGATATCAGAATTTTTTATACCATTGCTCATGCAAATAAAACGTCTCAAAACAAAATCAATAACACTACGCCGTTTATTAAACGTGAATTGTGCTGACTGAAAAAAATATTCGGTTCGTGATATGAGGACCATGCCATGTTTTGCGATGGGTATTAACCGCCAAAATTATACAACAGTTGCCAACAGGACAATTCAGCAATTTAGGATCTTGAACAATTTATTTTCTGAAGTAGAAATATCTTTTGTTGTAGAGGAATAGCAGAAGTATGTTTCACATATTTACATGTACATACGATTTTATGTCATTACGCCTTCAATACTGTAATCGAAACAAACAGTAGCCTCACCTCAAGTTATTCTACTGTCCTCTAGTCTTTCAGACCAGTCAAGTCACACTTCCTTTATTGAAAATGAGCTTCCTTTAAATATAAAGGTTTACCTGCATCCAGGCCTTGCAACTAAGCCGCAATTTTATATTGTGTGACGGTCACTTGCTTATTTCGAGGGATGCTACACTTTTGCATTGGCTTTTTTTTTTCCCTCGTGCACTTGTTTTACTCGTGCCCTGCAACTTATCACCTCCTCTCTCCCCATATAGGAGCACAGGACCAATTCAGCCCAGTTCCCGTCGAGTTCTTTTCGTGGAATCGGACAAGGGGTTTGGTGGGCCTTTGTTACCATGACAACCGTTGGGTAAGCTTTTTTTAAATTTTTGACCAAAGTCATAGTCAATGGTGTACATGAGCTATTTAAAAGCAGTATAAATGACCATTAGTCTAGTATTCTACACAAAGCCTGATTTTAATCTTTCAGAGGGAGATATAGGTTTATTGTTTAAGAAAGTTTATAGTACGGGTGCAGACCTAAACATTACACTTACTTCTAATGAATACACGAAAAATAGTTGGCATTCAAGTTTAATTCAGTCCATTCTTTTCAACGATCAAAGATACGGTGACAAAGCACCTCAGTCCTCCCTTGCCCGTACGTTTGCGATCCTGTGGATGTTAGAAGGAACAGTGTTGACAACTGTGTTTTCAGCTAGGCTGACCGCTGACCTAACTGCAGGCGAAATAGGCTATGACCTAAATCTTCTTGGAAAAAGGGTAGGTAAATAATTCTATCTATAGCTGATAAAATGAGTGAAAATAGAGACTTGAAGTATCATTCCTTCATGTCTGGTACTTCTACGAGCCCCTCAGTAACCCTAGTGCAAGAGAGTATGTATGAATGTAATAGTAGCTTAATTCGAGTGGCAAGAATACCGAATAAAGCAATGATTGAGAAAACGTAGTGCTGATTAAATAGTTCTGCACGAATGGAGCCAACCATGGTTGCGTTGCCCAGTGAGTGAAAAACGTGTCGTACATGAGGCAGTCCAGTTTTCAGGAACACTTCGTTAACATTAAGAATTGTTTCAAATCAAATCTGTTGCCACTGGAAGGTTCATCACGGGGGTTCTTGCTACTACTATTTGAGCCTCTTACTAATACTCGATGTTCTGAGTTCTTTAACGCGTTTAGTGGGTGGACGTTTCAGCGTTTAATGACAACACGATCAGGTCAAATTTAAATTTGAATACAACGCCTCGTTAATAAAATGCATTCTAAGGCATTCTAAGGCACAATGAAGGGTCTATGCTGCGATTTACTGTTCCGTTACAAAATAAGAACGATGTTCTGTATTTTTTTTCCACCATGCTTTTTCTATAAAAGGCTTAAACGCACATTATGTTAACACTAGGAACACTCAAATAACCTCGCCACCTGGAAGACTCGCCACAAAGTGTAATCGATCTCGCCATGAAGGCTTGTTACCTCGCCACCAAACACTCATGCGGTACCGATTGCTGTAACTGTATTAAGTATAGCTATCAAACGTTTAATTTAATAAATAAAAGTTCCCTTGAGCTCTAATTTGTTGCTCGTTGTTGTTATGGTAAAAAGTTTACAGAATCTCAGTATGAGCTTTCAAAACTCTCGTTCTTTCGACAAAAAAAAATGCATGCGATCGATAACAACTTTTGTCAATCTTGTTGTTTGTTCGTTCGATTAAAAAGTTATGGTCACTTTTCCTTTGATGGACATTCTAAATATTTACAGGCTAGACCTCGTCGTTCGATGGTTCGTTTGATATCTTTGATCTGATCAAATCGGTGGCTTTTCGATCGTTACGCGCACTTGACTCGCCTTCCGCCATCTTGAAAAAACTATCGAGCCTTCAGCACGGCTTTGCAGTATTGCCCATAGCATTCTTATGAGTATGCTCGAGAGACTCGAGATCAAACTTAAGAATCATCTAAAGTTTTGTACTTATACCAAATTAACTATAGCGACCTTGATGGCGAGTTTACCGGTGGTGACTTGATGGCGGCGAGATTGCCCCGGTGGCGAGACTTCCTGATGGCGAGATGACTTTAAATCGTTGTGAAGAAGCTGAGTCCGTATTGTTTGTATACTGCAGGTTGGTGTTCCTCTCGGCATGGAAACATTTCTCATAAAAGAGTTCAACTTCGGTGCAGATTTTGAAGGTAACCTCGGGTGACTTTGTTTCCAGACTACAGCTTAGACCTTCGTTCATAAAGAAAATCCAGAGAAAGCCCAAAGTGACTGGCCTCAAAATAGATGGCTGCGTAGCTTCGATAAACCACAGATTATGAAAGTGCTCATGAACTTGGATGGAGAAAACAGGCGGCTCTTGTTACGAGTTGATAAGTTGCTAAAATAAAGTTATAAATAAAGGTGCATTTCGATTGAGTGTTGTGAAACCAAAACCACAATGACCACAAAGGCTATTCAGAAAAAAAGGTAAAATGTCACATTGAGCCAATAAGATATTAAAATAAAAACAAGAAACTGCTTGAAGAACGGGAAACATGATCAAGCAACTCGCGACTGGTTTCAGGAAACCAGGTTTTTAATAAGTATACTGTGTTTGAATTTTACTGAAGAGTATCCATCGTGAAAAAACAAAAACATGCTACTTCTCTTCTAGAACTAGAGGATTTCCACGAACTGATTGACAGTCATAAATACTCATCGCTGGAATACTTGCTATTCTTTGACTATGATATGGCGTCCGACCTGATCAAGAAAAGGCGAATCAACGACCTCAAGATAGAAAAAAACATCGCACACGAGTTTTCAGTCGGTATGAGTCTGACAGGAGATTTTGGAACCAAAGAGGATGAGAGCTTCCTTGCGTGTTGGAGAAGGGAAATCGTTGACGACTATGAGATTGAGAAGGTACCACCAAAGATTTTCTGTTCTGCGCCAAAAGGTTTTTAGCGATAACATTTAAGGCTTCTGTTGATGTTTCTTTTACTTATTTGTTTTAACAGTCTATGCAGTCTTAACCGACAGGAGACAGGGCCATTACTCTCAGTAGACACTTAGTTCCGATATACTCACACGCAGCGGTTTTTACAAACCGTGGAGAGCGGCAAGATGCCTGTAAACACGGCGCCTGGTGATATCAGTCCAAATATGGACTCACCCAAACATTGAACCAATGAGCAAAGGATAGACTGACCAAGCTTAGGTTCTCTGTTATTGATTGTTCGCATTTTTTTTCAGCTTTTCGTCTTTGTTTGTTTGTTTATTTGTCTACTTGTTTTGTTTTAAGTTTTTTTGTCCGAAGTGATACACGAGTTTTATACCATCTTATTCCAGCATCTAAATCCCCAGTTTGAGCACCTGCCTATATGAAGTAATAGTGGTTCACATTCACGTGTATAATATCAGCTTCTTTCCCTATACAATGAACCTAGAGCTGTGTTTGTTTTGAAATTTACGTTTCATTTCAGGCAACTCGAAGGCATGCAAGAAAAGCCAAGAAAAAGGAACAAGCTTCGACGAAACAACCTCTGGATTCCAGCACTTGGGTCATCATCATCAGCGTGCTTTTTGTGGTTTTGGGAATGACAGCAGCCATTGTTAGGCAATATCGCTGGCTCAAAGCTCAGAACATGGTTGCAGGCCGAGTTGATTCCTCTTAACGTGTCTCGATATTTTTAAAATTGATGAAATATAGAATGCAACCCCACGACTACGTATAGAAGAAGCTTTACTTGAAGAAAGAGAACAAAATTATGTAGCAGCCTCCCTCAGCACCGCGGAAAACATCGTAATCTTTGATTCGTTTGACAGACTTCCTCTAGTCATACCTTACCCACGCACGCTAAGGATCTTGGGCGCGATGAAATCCTATCAGTTCTTGTTCCACGGCATGCCCAATCAAACTCAGGCACCATTCAATGATTAATAGCGGTACAAACCGGTATGATTACGCATGTTCATCATGGGGATAAATTTATATTACTTATGAGCACGGGATCAACGTCGCCTTCCGTAAACACGGAGGTTCGTTGTAAAAACTTCTTTTTCTGTTTATCCTAAAACGCAAAACTGACGTCTCCGAATTCACCCTGATTGAAGAGCGTTCTCAAAAAGCTCAGTTTTCAGCGGAAAGTAGCAGTGTTCTTGAGAAGTTGTTTTTTTCAAATTCAATCAAACCACTGTAAGACATTCGTGAACAATCAGCAACTTCGAATTCTCAACGGCTCGGAATTCATCCATCCTCGCATTGGCGGTCCACTTATGGATAAAACGACAATTAACTGTTGACAAATGATTGAAAAAAAAAAAAAAGATAACGAGGAAATCGTTAAGACAATTCTCATTTCAAAACCAACATAAATACCTTGCCACTGGGATTTTCTTACAAATTCGCGAAGAAAAAGTTTTCGTTTGGTAATCTTTTTCAGCATGTTTATTTTTTTTTCCAAGAAGACAGTCACAACTTAAACAGATGTACTAGACCGTCGAGAATGCCAACGGCATTGGTGGGTTTTTTTCCTTGGGATAAATTTCTGAATAAAATCTTTCATGAAATGCTGACGTCTCTTTTCAATCGTGAATCTTTGATTATACGTTGATGACGAAATCCTCTTTCCCGTACTCGTCATCCTTCACAGTCATTTCTGACATACAACTATGGTTTCAAGTAATTTGTCATCCTTGTTTATTTCGTCGACAATTAGCCCTACGCATTCAAATGTGTTCATTCTCCTTCTTCTTTTTTTGGGTGGTTTCTGCTTTGAAAAAACATGATATTTAAAGATTTCCATCGACAGATGGAAATTTCCCCTTTTTGCTTCATGCAAGACCAACTTGAACTTGAACGGAAAATTTGCTAAAAAGTTATCTACAAGTGCAAAGAATCTGAATAAAAAGGAGCAAGGGTGGTTGATGCTTGAAAATGGAGAAGATAAGAACAGTTTTTTCACGACAAAATGCTAACATAAAGGCTAATTTATTGAAATGATAGGAAGAGGGTGTCAATGGAGTAATGGCTTTTACGGCTGACGGTTAAAATTTTTGCCGTTTTAGAACTGACGGTTAATTTATTTCCATTGCCATTAAAAGACTACGTTTTTACGGTTAAATTCTTTTATCGAATAACGATTAAAATTTGTCAATTTTTACCGCTAACAGCTAAATTTGTTTGCTGTTTTAGTGGTTACAGTTAACCTCGTTAAGACCCTCTAAGAACCGCGAACTTTGGCGAGAACCACGTAGAACTGCAATTACGAATCCGCGATACATGCTCAGCAGTCAAACGCTCTAATGAAAACATGGTGGAAAATTTAGCATTTTGTAAAACGCTAAACAGAAAAACAACTGCGTAGCTTTTCCTAAGTTTCGGATATGTTCATTAGAAGACAGACCAGCTATGTGAATTTTACTGAAGACAACTGTCCGATTTCATGGGATTGTATGGAACTGATCTTTCCCGCGGGCAACACCTAAAATAACTGTTACTTGTGTTCACATTTATTTTTTGTCTTCGGACAACTCGCTCAATAACATAAGCTGGCTCAACAAAATTCTTTTACTTGTCATGCCTGTGAGTGCATCAAGTTGTGCTGTAGAGAATAATAACATGATTATTTTGGCTCTCCCGCTGGAAATCGTGTCGTATATTTTCAGATTTCTGCCAGCTTCGGATTTAAAATGTGCAGCTCTTGTTTGTTGTCAGTGGTCTAAAGCTTCGCAGGATCCCATCTTGTGGAGAAACGTTTCTGTCAGTCTTGGAACACGACGAGAAAGGTTTTCCCATCTGTTAGTGGACAGCCTTCAGAGACGCTGTATCCAGCATCTGAGATTCAAGCATATGACAACTGCTGCTCAAATTCTTCAAGTTTGTAAGCAAGTTGGATCAAATCTTAGAGAGTTGTCTCTGCAAGGCTGCAGATGCGTCAATGATAACTTACTCGAGATACTAAGTAAATACTGTCCTAATCTTGTACGTGTAGACTTGAGCCGATGTAGGCAGCTTGACGTGGCAAAGAATGTGATTTGGTTGGACAAGTGTGCAAATGTTTGGAGACATTTGACTGTCTTGGATTTGAACGCTTGTAAAGACGTATCCCATGTGTTTGTTTCAAAAGTAGCTGATTTGTTGCCCAATGTCGTGGATTTTAGTATTTCTGGCTGCAAGGGCATTGGAATTTCAACATGGCATAAGATGGCGAAGAAGTTGTCATCTCTGAAACACCTTGACATCAGTCGATCTGATATTACGGATGAAGTGATGCTCAAATTTTCTCAGATACCTGAACTAAAACTTATAGGGATAAATCTAACAGCTTGCAAACATTTGACTGATAATGGCATAGTATCACTGGTGAAATACCAGACGTCACTTGAGGTCCTAAAACTTGCTTGTGTGGATATTACAAATACCACATTAATCTGCATTGGCAAATACTTGCACTGTCTAAAGGTGCTGGACTTAAATAGTTGCAGACAACTCACAGATGGGGCATTATTGACTGTCAACGCACTTTTAATCAACTTACACTCACTGAACTTCTATTCATGCTACCAGCTGTCTAACAGTGGCCTAGGAAAGTTCTTATGCTGGACACAGGTACACTGAACTTACTCATATACATTTAATCACTCACCAGGGCCTTAATTGTCATGAAGGGATTACTGTGCACCTATCACAATATTGATGCATTCTGATTGGTCATAAGGTCAAATACACTTTATTTTCTGTTGGCTTATGCACCCAACAATTTTTTTGCTTATGTTTTTGTTTTTGTTTTGTTTTGTTTTTTTTTTTAACTAGAAAGCCATTACTTGCTTTTTCTTGATTTAACCAGCTTGCCTTGCATTTTCACAACATCTCACACAGTTACCAGTCATCTATGTGACACTTAAGCATCAGTGGTATGTTTTACATTCATGTCTAAGAAGAAATTCATCCCATAGTAGTAACCACCTCCCCTTACACTGTGTAAACACGAGCTTACATATAACTTTTACCTCACAGAAACGTGCTTTAAGAGGTGCTTGATCAAGAAATGGTGCTTGATATCAAAATTTCAGAGTTTTTCTCTACAGTTAGACCTCGATTTGTGTCCTATGAGTAAGGTAGAATACTGAAAATGCTTTATCATGCTTTTTTTATCTTTCTTTAATGCAGGGTACAAATCACAATGTCCCTTTAAAAGTCCTTGTATTAAATGGTTGCAGCACTCTGTCTGATGAGTTAGTGTTGCGATTTTCTACAGTCCTGATCAATCTTCAAGAACTTGATCTGAGCTCATGTCTTCATGTAACTGACATTGGATTGTCTGCCATCACTAGCTCACTTATTAAACTGCAATCACTTCGGCTCAGTTGGTGTATAAACATCACTGATAATGGTTTGATTGGCTTTGTTCCCTCTGAGCAAAACCTTGCTGATGTCTGCCATAACAAGGATAAATGTTCCCATGCAGAAAAATTTAAAAAGGAAGGAGGGACTGCACAAAGTAAGGTATGCATATAGTTAATAAAAGGGGGTAAGTTCTGCATTGATGGAAGAGTATAACAAGGTAATTTGCATATATTGTTATCAGCTGAGTTGAAAATGTAATTTGGCCACCGTAAAGAGTTTAAAGGCTGACATTTCAAGCATTAGCACTTTGTCAGAGCGATTGATGAAGGGCTGACACTCAAAACGTCAGCCTTTAAACTCTTTATGGTGGCCGATACCTTTTCAACTCAGTTGATAACACTAAATTACCCTGTTATCAGTGCATACTGTCAGCGAGGGTGGTAAAGAGTTAGTATGTGATGCATGGATTTTATAGAAATGCAAGCATGATGTGTAAAATTTGAGGTGAGGTGTGATTTGCCTCCTGAAGTATATGTGACCCATGACTATTTTTTTTTCATTTTGTGAAAATACCAATTTTTTTCCTGAAATCTCACACTCAAAAAGAGAGATTTGAAGTTTCCGAATTTAAATCTGTGATGCATGAATTGCTGATCAAAGTGCACACAGTGTTTGAAGTTTTCTAAAATTTGCATGAAACAGGATCAGAACTTCCCCTTTATCTCTCATACTTACTCATGGCAAGGAAAACATTTTAATCCCACATGTTTCATTCATATTAATTTTCAGAATTTTTGTGTTTCTTCTCCAGGTACCAAAAGGAATAAAGAACCTAGAACAACTGAAACTTTTGGACATTAGTCACTGTACATGTATCACAGATGGAGGCTTAAGAAGCATTTGTCAGCTAAGGAACTTAACCACGCTGAATATAAACATGTGTACACAGGTACAGTTTATGGTCACAGGACTCTAATCACTCACTTCTTTAATGATATGATGGCAAAAGAGAAAAACTCCCGGGCAGAAAAATGCAGGGAAAAGAGTCAGTTCCCCTATCTTCTTTCTAACCCCCCCCCCCAAAAAAAAAAAAAATTAAGAGAAAAAAGGAAGAGTTTGAGAGACTTAAAGTTTCACCACTCATCTACCTCCAACCTCATTTTGGGCTATACATGTACCTATATTCAATTTTGTTAACTTTTTTCTTGCAAAAGTAGTCACATCCTCCACACTGTAGAATATGCTTTATAAGGTAGCAATGAAGACTTCAAAACTTACATTATACACTTGATAACAAAGAAACCAATCATTTTCAGTTGGAGGAATTGTTAAATTGTGAAGCATTCAGATCTTTCAGGGTTAATTTTGTTCTAGCTCTCCCAGCATTGGCTATTCTTGACTTTCACTTTGCTTTTGGTCACAGATTACAGACAGTGGATTAGCTGATGTTGCTGAAAATCTCCACACTCTAGAACAGCTGACATTCAGTGGATGTACATCAGTAACTGACATGGGTGTTTCCTTGGTAGCAATTCACCTGCAGAGGCTGGTAGCACTAGATGCATCTAAATGTGACAACATCACTGATAAGAGCGTCATGGACTTAGCAATACATGGCCGTAATTTAACCCACCTAGATCTGAGCATGTGCAGTCAGATTACAACAAAGGCTGTTGATCAGTTGGAAGAGCATATTCCAGGTCTTGCCTCACTACAGTTGAGATATTCTGGGGCAAGACTTTGCACTAAGGTGTATGCCCTATAGAGATTCCAGAGTATGTATTTTGCTATGATGATAGGTGTACATAGTTGAGTAAGGGTGACAAACTGTACAACAATGCTTGCCAGTTCTCCAGTAGGTTTAACCATATATTGCTTGCAACTGCTAGTGATTTGTAAATACAGAATGGATTTTCTGGTTTGGATCAATAGAAACTATTTACAAGCTTTATAAACCCCCCTTTTCAAATTGAGGCTAATTGCAAGTCTTTGTAATAAAAATGAGCTGTATTTGCCTGCCAATAAAAAAATGACTTCCATCAAAAAAAATCTGCACTTGATCACCCTTTTTACCAGGAGATTATGAATCTTTAAAATGGCCCATTATTTTAAAGTTGCATGTTAAATCTGTAGCTTTCTGGTGGTACTCATACATAGAATGCAATAAGAAACAGAGTCAATTTTCCAGACCTTTATTTAGCTTTTCTTGAATTAGTATCAGTCATTTAATCTTTTTAGCCCTGAATCTCTTAAAAGGTGTTTGCTGTGTTATGAATATTGTTCAGATATTTGGTTAACACATATACTGTCACACGTATTTAATCATCTTTAATAATAAAAAAAAATTCCCAGTCATTAGCAATCTCTTTTAGCACTATTCATCTGTGTGGTGTATAGTAATATATAAACAATATAATCTGTTTGACGTGAAAATATGCAGATATTTTTCTGTAGATGTTCTCTGTTCCAAGATGAGCAAAGTTTTCTGAGAGCAAAGCTCTTCAAGGAACAGATAATGTCCAAGAACAAATATATAAGCATATTTTCATGCAAAACAGAGGTGTTTATCATCCTTTAAATATTTTGCAATACACCTGTTCAATGTTTACAAACAGCTTATTGTTTGTTATGTGGGATGTTTTCTTTTGAGTGTTGTTTGGTATGACTTTATGGAAAAATAAATATTCCCTTCTTCTGTAACAACCATAACACACTCTCTCTTCTTGAATTGAATTTTAAATGAAGACTTATCATAGTGGAGGTAAGGTTCGAAAATTGAGGAATATCATTTGCCCAGTTTCAGCTGGGGATATTCAGTCAAGTGCTGCATTTAGACCAATCATGCAAGCATAACTGTTTGATGGATCATACAGTTGAACATCAGTGCTTGTTTAAAGAATATTTAGCTTTGGTAACTATACATAGTCTCACAACAGAACTTCTCTGATAATTTTTTTTTAAACTAATGACACTAGGTACATATGGTATGTTATATTATAGAACTGTTTTTTACCACCTATTGGTAGTGTAAAAATGACATTCTGTTTGATTCCCTTACATTACCTCCCACCCCCTCCCCAACTCACCCCTTTCCCCCACCCCTTCCTTCCTCACCCCTTCCCCCCCCTAATTAGGAGACTTCATGAATATTCTACAATTATGTCTTACAGAAATAATGCACATGCGATTGTAGGGTGATTAACAATGATTATCTGCTGGTAAATTTAAAGCTTCCACAGTATGTATTAACTTGTGTAATACACATACTTCATGTGATTTCTTTCCTTTGAAGTATTTCTTTAAGACACTGAGACATTTTCCTCGGATGTCAAATATTTTTTCAGCCAAAGAGGAGGTTTAAAAGCTAAGTCTAGCATCCATTAGTAGATATATGTACATGTAGTACCACTTACAATGTACTACAATCACCAACTAACTTTTTTTTTTTTTCAAAATCATCAAAACAGTCATACAATGTAATGAGGATTAAAATGTTTCTTAGATGTACAAGCAAGCTTGAAAGATATATTGTTATCGAGGGACATGAGAATACCTTAATGTTGTACATATGTAAAGCAATTTGTACAGTTTTTTGTTGAGTATTTAGTTTCTGTAATACACCAAGAGGACAAAACAAAAGTATACAGCACTTCATTGAATTTTTTTATACCTTCTAGAACTTCTAACTATCTGATAATAACCTTACTGAGTGCATAGTAACCAATAAAGAATACTCCAACTAGTCCAGCTATAAGGTAACACATGATTTTTCTGTTTGATCGTCCTGCAGAAACCATTTGTGATAGTCGTGCTGCACTGCCACTCAACAAACTTGATGAGCTCCCAAAGTCATCTCCCTGTTGATTTTAAAATTGATTACCTTGATTTACTTTACATCAATACAATACAGCGAGTTGTAGCTCATGAAAATCAACATCACTTCCCAGGTAATGCTACGAACATGAGAGGTGTAAAAAGTGTAGTAGGTTGGGTTTGTGATGTATTGGCACCAATTGTAAAAATATGCTCTGAGAAGGTAGTGTTCCATCAAACTTTTGTGTAAACATTTTTCCATCTTCTCTCCCTTTCAGCTTGAACATGTTTTGACAATTGTTTGAGTTCTTTGAGTAAAAGTATTATCTTTAAACAGTGTGGGGTAAAGTGTGGAGGTCAGGTGATCAGAAAATAACAGTTATGAAATAATATCAAGTACAGACAGTTGAGTAACAACTGCTGTATATGATCAGAGGAAAAATCTGTCAACTGCTTAGACCAATCCAAAAGATGGGTAGGGGTTGTATAATTCTGGAATTTAAACAGTTGTATTTCCACATAAAAAAAACACACACACACATAGCAGCATAATTACCATTCCATCAAGATATTTGTTTTGCTGCTTGCTTTCATTCTCGATATCAATTGCGATCTTAAAAAAATGAAATGGATCAAATAAATTTCCATAAAACAAACTACATATTAAATTAGCTAAGTTTGTATTACAGAGGGTTGTTCCTTATCTTAGACACCTCTTTTACATGGGGTGTGGGTTAGGAGCAGGAGTAATTTTCACACAGTTAGGAATGAAAAGGATTTTAACAGGTAGACTTGATTTAAAATCAGAAATGTGATGATGGGTATTACTGACAGGGAGGGGGAAGGTTCCAAAAAATGGAAACTATCACATTGATCAATGCAAATGAGGACCACAGCCAGAGTGCTTATTAAAATTCAAGCATTATATATAAGGAATATACAGAGGAAGGTATGGAGAATATGCACACTAATCTTAGGGTCTAAAGGTTTGTTGCAACGACACAGTGTTACAGAAATGTCTTCCTACCCCTTTTAAACGGGAAACTTTTGCCGCCAAATCTTCCACCATTCGATTGTTCTCTGTTTCCAACATTTCATCTGTAGAGGTTGTCCTCGAACCTGCGCAACATGCCAGGTGACGAAAAACATTAATTTAAAAATTTCAATCGAATGATCTTGAAAAGTACACAATACGCTTGCTTTCGATGAAGAAGTTCATGGACCATCTAAAATACTTAACGTCATAATCTCTCTTATCAAATTGGAAATTAATTCCTTTGAAATTAACACTGACAGAGTTTTACTCGCTACATTTGTCTTTTGAAGCGTTTGATTTAATATATTCCAAAAAAATCCCTACCTCGATTATTTCCCCACGACGCCATCTTGTATTCAGAAAGATTATTTATGTAAGACGAATGGTTTGTCCTCTAAATTTCAATCTCATACCCAGACTACGAAGTTTGAAGAGCATCTGACGTAAGTGTCCATTTAATTTGTCCAATAATTCGATCGTACAGAGAGCTTAATTGCAAATTTGCGATTATTCCATCTTCCCTTCAAGCTTAACGACAGGAGAAACTTCAACAGTATATTAGCGGAACCGGCGAAGCAAAGTAGTTCTAAATCTGTTGCCAGCCTGCTATGGTCCCACACTCTTTTTTTACTCTTTGCCCAAAAGCCATGACAGAACGCAGTACTAAATCATTATTAAAAGACCTAGTTGTGATTTTAGTACCAAGCCCGTCTATTGGCAACCTTGGAGATTTGTCTATAAAAGCTTTTCCTTTTGTTCATCATTATAATGCCACGGCATAGGGAAGTCGTTGCTAATGTGTGATACTCCCAGAACCATTGCACCTTCCTCGAATGTGGTTTGCGCATTAGCTGCTTTGTTTTTCACTAATTATTCGGTAGAGTTGTAATCGGCCAGTTGATCGTAATCGGTCACCTGTACTCGAACAGTTAAATCAGCCAATCATACTAAGTCGGTTAAAGGGACAAGTTTCTAAAGAAACTGTAGTGCTTCGGCGGTGGGGGAGTGAAACAAGATAAAATTGGTTTCATCAAGTGAGTTGATAATGTTAATAAGCCAACGTATAGAGTTTCAACTAACGTTTCGAGCGTTGGCCCTTCGTCAGAGCGAATGACATCCTCTTGGCAATGAAACCTCGACAGTGATTTTGCCATGTTTTTACTTTGAACTCAAAACTACATTCAAGTGTTATGCCGAAGGGAAGATATTGTACCGTCTGAAAAGGTTAACACACCAAGCGAAAATCTTAAAACAAAATAAATTACCTCTTTTCGGCAACCTTTTATCACAAGTCACCGTAGTGACATCTTAAAATCCTTCATTACAAGTGCGATAACAACCTCGAGAAACTTTAATCCGGCATCCTGGGGTTGTAAGATTGTTTGTAAACGCCGGCTATTTTTCAACCACAGCTAGGCGGGTCACCTCACCTACCTGGGGTCCCCCACAGGCCCTTAATTTTTGTTAGAGCTTTCCAAATTACCCTCTATTTCATTTCGTGAGACAAGATGCATTTTTAACACTTTTTCACTCGGTCAGTCACATCGATTCGTAATACCGTGTTCATTCCTTGTAAATAACCTGCATTTTATTACGCGTTTCAAACTTAGGGGGCAAAGTCCTCTCTTGTTCAGTATATCTTCATTTATTCGAGATCCCAGTATATCTTTAGTTAGGGTCTATTAGAGATACAACAGAGTTGCAGTTTGTCTTTCGTAGTAAAATTACGTGGAATTTTATTTTTAAGGCGACTGACTTTTGATTTCTCTTTGTTAGGGGAACGGTTGTAAGCTTAGGCTCTTTCGCAACCGTTATGGTCTCGTCGCGCAATGCGCTCACTCTCCAACGAGGAATCGAGGGCATTGTGTGACGAGACCAAACAACGTCTGCGAAGGAGACTACAAAAGTATTTAGACAGTAGAGACAACAGACCACAAAATACCTGTGTGAGTTTAGATAAATTAGGTTCTTTTTCTTTCTCTTAAAGTGATGGAATGCGATATTTTCGCTCTTTTGAAAGTTATGAATACCAAGTGTCTCATCTCGACCTACCCAGCCGAAAAATAGCTCCCCCATGCTACGCATACCTATTTTCACACAAAGGTAGGTTGTACATCGTCAACCTTGCTCAGGCAGCGTACATTGGTTACGAACGGAAGTAAATTTCTGAGCTCCGATACTTGAGCTAGGATGGTGATCACTATTCAATACCACGTAAAGGCTGAAGACCTTAACTTTTTATTAATCAGCATTGAATAAACGTGTAACACTGCTGCGAGAAGAAATGTGCTATAGCACTAACAGACTGACAAAAATTCACATTGTTATTGTAGAATCTCAGTATCAACTACAAAACAGAGCATATATTCGTGTTCTCGGCGTGAGATTCTCAACACGTTGAATTTTGGTTTCACATCGAACCTTTTAGAAAAAAGCGCCTCAAATTTCTAATTCAGTGCTGTGTCAAAACCAAAAATTGAAGTAAGAATGCATGTGCATTATGTATAGATATCACCTGTGATGCAAATGCGTCACAGACGTATGCCTTCAACAACACTGTAATGGTACTGATGGCGCAATTCAGCGAAAGTTGTCATAAACCTCTTCAGGCGGCTAGTATGTTGGCAAATCATGTCTGCGACTAAGCTATTATCCGAAAATTGAATTTTAGGCCTATAAGCGAAGCTTCGAGGGCAAATGGTTAAATTTTCAAGACAACATCCCAGCTGAGGAAACTGCCACCAGTAATACCAGCATGCCAGAAGTGGGTTGATTTAATTAATAACCCTTCCATTAATTTTCGTATCGCGCGTTGACAGCAAAAAAATTGTTGACTTTTTTTTTACTTTCCGGACCAGTATTTGAGATCATCTTTTTAATATCACTACATGTGAACTCTACAAAATTACTTCATTTTTCTCCCATGTTCTGTAATAAAGATTAAAAAAGTGAAAATCTAGTCCGGCTCTTGTCCGCTGTCTTTCTTTCTTTTCCACGGAAATAATCGGGGGACAAATATCAACGTAACTGGTGGTTATTTTGTTTAAACTTTGAGGTGATTTTGAACCACGTGTCTTAAAGTAGCCAATAAAGTCAATAGCAATATACTTTATCACTTAACGTTTTTCATTCAAAAAAATAGAAAGATGCATGCGTATAATAGACAGAAAAACGACCCCATGAGAAAAAGGAAGGTTATTTGATTTAGACTTCACAAGGTAATAGTGTAGCCGTATTGGGGATACATGTTCATTTGACAGTGGAATAATCAATAAAAAATAGGAATAAAAGCTATCTATGAGTCAATAAAGTAAACGGTCATTCATGTGGTTGACAGCAATATTGCTCAGCTAAATCTGTGCGATCAACCAGTGGATGACACAGTGCATCATGTAGGACCATGTACGTTGCAGCTGCGCCATTCGCCTGTTTCCAATGTTGTAACATTTTGTAGATTTTTTTACGCTTTCTCCTATAGTCATGGTCAATCTCCATTAAAGTTGCCTCCTCAATTTTGAGAAGATGCCCGAGTTCCTCCCAATTTTCGAGTTTGTGCGAAAGCCACAGTAAATCTTCGTCTCTGAGGTCTTCTTGCTTGACTAAAAACATAAAGACATTTCAGCAAAGCATCAAGATGAGGGGATAGCGAGTAGTACGTATTGCAACTATTCATGCCATTTTGCTGGATTCACACATTTTTATTTTAAAAAGGCAGGGGGAAGGATGATAGGGTTAGGGGGGTGGGGGTTAATGGGCACGCCCATTGAAATGTCCTCATTTACCTGCGAAACCAGTTTTTCTTTTCTTTGAAGTTAAGGCGTCACTCGGAGACGACTCTTCATTTCGGCTACCTGCATAATAATAAATGTAAAGAAATCATTAGACCGGAAGTTTTGAGACAACAGATTAATTGTAACAGTGGAGCTTCTTCCTTTCCTGGTTAAACGTCTCCTGAGGAATTTGTTTCAAGGACAGTTCGTGCCAATGCATTATGCATCCCAACTGTGCATCATTTTACACCAAAAATGCACGCCCACGAACTCGAACGGATGATTTATTGTTCTTTTTTTTCTGCCACGAAAAAAAAGATCATTATCGCCACGTAAACGGATTTGGTGACATATCTCTTGTTTGCCATCGAGCGAAAAGTTTGAAAAAAATCGTTTCCATACAATAAACAACTTGGGTAAAATAAGAGACATTCACCAAAATTGAAAATTTGCAAGGGCTCTTGTGGCACCTACACATTTGTATCTCATTCTTAACAAATGTTAAGGGAAACCAGTTAGAACATATTTTTTCGGTCAATAGATAAGCTTGTATATATCCTTGACGATTCTCCTTATCCGCTAAAAAGGTTTCAGGTTATTCCGTCGTTAAGGGCCATTTCATTTTACACGTGATAAGGAGGCCCACGTACACAAACTGAATATATTTTTTTATTTTTTACCTTGGTGACCCATCATTTCTGATGAAAAAACTTACCAGTTCGTTTCTTACATTCAATGGAATTCAATGCCTAAAAGGCAAAAGGAAATAGTGGCAACTTTACGCTTACAGTAATCAGTTATTAGAATAAATTGAGAGATAAATATACAAATAAAAGTAATTCAAAACGTATACTTTTATAACCCAACTGACTACCTCTCATGTGATCTCATGAGGAGTAACTTTTTGGATATAAGTTTATTATGGTAAATGGTTGAAAAAACAGTATGTAATGATTATCAGATACGGAAATGGACGTCGTGTATCGTAAAGGGATGTTCCTATCCTTCTTTTGAGGCCTACACATTTGGAAATGAAAGAACCATTGTAGCTGAAATTCAAAAGTAGCGAACCTGGGAAAACAATAAACTACAAATACTTTAAAAAGTATACAAAAATATAGCTTCCTCACATAAAGTCACCCAAGGTGCTGCAGCTCACGGGTAGCTGATTCGCGATAATAGTAATAAAAGGGAGTATAAGTATTTTTTATAAACCCTGATATCATTTAAGACAAACTGCCTAAAACATACGGCGAATCCTGTGTTTGGCAGAAGGAAGATAATTTCAAATGTCTCTATCTTCCCTTTCTTTCTTGTTTTTTTTGTTTCTTTTTTTCCCTTTTCTGGTAATCATACGAAATTTATTAATGAGAGAAAGAGCATGGCATATAGAAGAACTTTTGAAGTATTTGTAGAAGATAAAGCCTGGACAAATTCAGGTCTTGATAGGAATCGAATATCCTACGAAAGTGTTGCGTGCGACAGAGCTATCTGCCAACCGTGAGTTTCGAATTCTCCTGATTCACTGCACTTAGATTAAATTGTCTTTTTTCTAACCTGAACCCAAGGATCCAGTTTTTCTGCTGGATAGTCGGGAACAGCATCAACGGAGTGTTCACAACTCAGGCCAAAGCTTCTTAACGGAATGTAGTGGCCACAGTCAAAATGAGAGCAGCCTTTCTCTTTGTGCAATATGCAAATATTGGTTCCGTCACGACACTTGTCTGGACAAGGTTCACACAGCTGGCATTTCACATACAATTCCATCGTAACTGATCGTAACCACAGACAGGTGACGCTTAGCCTAGTCCTGCAACGCTCCAGAAGACTGCAATGGACAAACATAGCAACAAGGACATCAACAAGGCGAATAACGCAAGCGTGACTCATTGTCATGTACATTTAACTGAAGGCATCCCACCTCATCGAAAAAATCAGCACCCAAAAAGGTCCTAAATCTGAAAAAAAAACCTGTCACAGGAATCAGAACGATTGAAAAAGTCAAGAAAATTAAAGAGGGCCTTTAAGTTTCCCCTTGTTTAACGTGATAGTATTTCATCAATCTTTTTTATTATGGCATTCCATTTAATATTACTTTATCAGTAATTATTAAGTTTAAATGAAATGAAATAATGCCAGATATTATTGTGGCTTACCTCAATAAATCTTCGCAAATTCTTTTCTCTTCCATTTCATCCGAGTCTCGCGGTGTCCAGATTATCAACTCGATCACAGTTTTGTGACACTCTAGAGTGAGCTGGTACACTTCACTAACATGGAATCTGGCGGCGTTTGAAAACAACGAAGGGGCCATACGGGAATCACGGCATAATTGTGAGGCAAATTCCTCCCAAAAATGTACAACCAGCCTGCAAAACAGCCCGCTTGGAACGTAGTTGGTGTTAAATGTGAGAAATACGGGCAAAGGACCATTGCGCATGTTTGTGCCTCTCGTATTCTTCTTCGGTGGTTTCAACATACATGGAACAAAGAAAGGGTAATCTTCCCCCTTGCAGTTCTTAGAGTTGCATATAACATCAAAACTTTCCATGATATGAATCAGTGAATCTCTTATTTCATTCAATTCAAGGTGTTCAAACGCTCGATCTAGCAACTGCTGCGAAAGCAGTCCTTTTCTCCCAAGGACTTCGTAATCTTTCTGAATAACAGGGTCGTTTTTCCATGGTGGACTCACCGTAATTATCTCACATAGTATTTTAATTAACCACTGCGGATCCAGCACGACCAAACCATCTGGATTTTCAGGGAGATCTTGGTAGATAACTCTTCCACGAGCTTGTAAAAAGTGCAGCAATTCTTCAACGTCATCTGTGCCATGAAACTGGCAAATGCCCCTAGAAATGTCTTCTGTAAAACGCTTTTTGCCAACATAACGTTTCCCTTTTTCTTTCACCATTTTGTCGATTTTTTGTTCCACACGGAGCCACTGCATAGGGATTACCTTGTTGATATGAGGCAATTTTTTAGCCAGATCCAATAATTCCGCACGCAAAGAAACGATCTGTGGGTCGTCTTCTCTGTTTGGATTTGTGTTATCTATGAAGAATGATTCTTTGGAAATATGTTGTAAGGTTGCTGGATGAGCCATGCTGCGAATGGTTTCCATCACAGATTCCATTTCCTTGCAAGGATCCCTTACACCATCAGCATGTGTACCCACAAGCACCACAGGAGGCAAAACATCCCTAGTATTTGCCGACCTTATCTGAAACTCTGGCCGTCCCAAAGAGTGCACCAAGTCCAGCCATCTCATCATGTGATCGAGATTAGTGTCCGCGACGTAAGGCGAGTTTACTTCTATTTCATCGTGATTATGCGGTCTTATCCGACATTGGGCGGGAGCACATAACTCCTCCGTAAGATCTGACACAAGGACATATATGGCTTCTTGCGATAGGAAAATGGGATGAATGGCATGGTATACTGCCTGGCCGGCGAAATCCCAAATAACAGGCCATATGCCCTCGATGTCGGAGGTGTCGTTTCTCTCGAGGCCACGCTCTATGAGTGAAAGTACCGTCATAGGTATTTTGACGTCTTGGGCACCTAACATTGATAATTTTTCGTTAGTTCAGAGTAATTTTGGTCAAATACGCCATTCACGTGTTGACAATACACATTATAGCATCAGTTAAGCGTATATAGCGCATAATCGTACACTCCAAGAACGGTTGCTCCACCTAACGATTCTAGCAAAACAGTAAATCAGAGCGCGCGCACTAAAAATTTAAAAGAAGTTTCGCGACACCCCTGAAAGCGACACTCGCCAACTCCTTGGGAAACTGTGCATGACCTTACCATCTTACCAAAGAAATATAATTTAAACGAGCAGTATCCCAGAAGGTGTAATTTTCCCATTGCGTAATATCACGCGAGTCTAAAGGTGCAAACTGCAGAGGCTCTGTGATTATAATTTGATATACAGTATAGTAATGGTATCCGGGTAACTTGTGTCTGCAGAAAAGGATAATTAACTAACACATAATGCACAAGACCTTTGCCAAAGATCCGCAGATGAACGCTTGTCAATGTATTTCCATAATTTATTTTGTGTGCCTTTGGTCACTGAAATGCGCACACCACCAATCTACGCAAAAGGTCTTCAGTAAATTAAATGAAAGTAATCAAGTGTGTTACTTCAAATTAACTTGAGTTTGAGAAGCTGCTAAGTAATTGTTAAACTAGTGAGCTTTGGCTTACCATTGCTTGGAAAGTTTTCATCCTGCTTGAAAGTTGCTTACGTAAATAATGATTAAAATCAATCACCTTGGTCGGTACTATTTAATATTTACTCATCATATGCACCAAGAGCGAGTAAAAAGCAAACGGCTAACCTGACTGTGATGAGCACGAGACAAATGAAAAGCACCCTTAAGTAAAGATTCAGTATCGAAAACTTGAATTGAGACTATTGTAGTTCACAAGCACTTCTTGATATCAATGGTAGTGAGCTTTAGCTTACCATTTCTTTGGACTTTTTCCTGTGAGGTATCACTTTGGTGCCTAGAGTTGTAAGCTGCAGATGTAAAAAACGATATTTAAGTACAACTCTCCTCAATACCATTTATCAATCTTAGGATGTTAGGGCAATAAGACTAGGCTTCCGATTTGGTAAATGAAAAATTTCTTAAATCTTTAGTCAATCATTTGCCTATCACTTTACGTGATTAAGTTACAAAAATAAATCAGAGAATTGCTAGGAATGATACTTCATACTAATTTATACATTACTTTCTCCAAAGGTTGTGAAGAATCTTGATCAAGCCATTTAAAGACGTTCCGCCAGCGCGAACACATTTCTTCACGTTTTTGAAGAATAGGCAACACGATTATACTAGTAATAAACTTTAAGACTAATCCAGGAAATGTAAATAAATGGAAAAATAATTATCGCAGACCTAAAGCTCTCTATGTAAGTTTTCCATTCTATTAGGCAAGCCAAAGAAAGTGAAAATTTTGAATAATTCGTTTGTCAGAGTGGTAGTTACGAGGCGAGGTATATATAACCGCAGCCGACATCTATGACTTACATTGTGGTAATGTTACTTCATTGTTGCAAATAGATGAAGGAAGGATGTAAGAGACGAGGTAGGGAAGGAATAATTTATTACCATGGTTTTCGACTTTTACTCAAAAATGCAGGGATCTAATATATTATGTTATTTTTTTTCAACAATTAAATTTTGATGCTGATTTTGTTGTTTCTGGCAAAAGTTTCAGAACTCCTTAAGTCCTTGACGAAACCTCTGTAAGTTTGTGTTTTATCTGTGCTTTCGATGAGGTAGAGAACGTAACAAAGTACTTGCACTAAAAGTTCCCGAATGTTTGCTCCTTCGATACTCGATGAATAGTATGTTCAATTCTATCACCAACACTGAGCGCAAAGAACTTTCACCCACTGGGAGGGATGTTCCTATCTCATGAGAAACGGCAAGTGGAAAAAAAGGAAACCGAGAACACAAAATGGAAACAAATCAGTAAAAACATTAAGGTGAAGCTTATGTCACAATAGAGATTTCAAGCGAATTTACTTCGAGCCTATTACAATGATCTCTAGTTCTGTAATGGTGTCAACTTACTTTCCATTGATTCTGATGCTATTTGTCGAGAAGTTTCATGTAAAGAAGGGTCACTTGAAGTTTCTTGTCTTACTTCCCTTTCTCTTGTATCCCCGTCTCTAATTTCCTTTTCTCCATTAGGGAACTGTTGAGCGGAATCTGATCGTTCAGTAGAGCTGCTCAGTATCTCCTTTGCAACCTCTTCCGCACACTTGTGATCAAGTGCACACGTGTTTTCAAGGGAAGCAGGATTCCTCCATGCGCCTGTGGAGGAATCATTTCAATCCCGTCTGTGCTAGGTTGGTTTTTATCAAATGTTTCACCTCTAAGGTATCTCCCGAGGCTTGTTTTTCCGACACGGTCCTGACCAATCAACAAAACTTTGGTACGTCTATCGTAAGTTTCCCCTTTCTCTAGTGCTCTCCAGTACGCTAAAAACGCCGCGGGTCCTCGGGCTTGTATGCATGCGGGGATCGAGTCTGTAACATTTATAAAGCTAGTACGTAAATTATTTAATTAAAAAGCTACCTTTAAAATGTTATCAACGAAGATGTTTCTCTTGGTCGCATAACTACTCCAGAAGTTATCATAAGACCAATACTCCTTTCCTTTTTCGTCAATGACTTTCCTCTTCATATCTTATACCTTGTTCACACCAACTTAAACAAGTTTTATTAGACTATGTTGTTTAAACATGGTCTTATAAAACAATGATGCTTCAATAACATCTAACTCCAATCAGTCAAAAATGAACAAACTATTGACTAAAGAGGAAACAAAGTTGCATGCATATTATTGGGAAGAGCTCGAGAAAGTGTATGGAAATGATCTTCGTAGAAACATCAGTCGTTTAACCATCACCCTGAACGATTCAAAAATTGATAAGATTGGATCAAACAAGATTTCTGGCTACCAAAACCAAAGATATCGCAACAAATTGGTCGAAGTCTTGTAACGAATATGGGACACAACTGAATTTTTTTAAAGACTGATTAATTGTATTGCAGCCATGAAAACAACAAGTAGAGTCTTTCTTTGGCATATTTGTTGGTGGCAGAACAAGTGAGGACTTATACATACTATTATTTCTTCACGCCAAACAGTTTTGGAGACATCATATTTTCGTAAAGCACACCTTTCATGACTGCAGGCAATTTTGCCTCCAAGAGCTGATACCAGCCGCTGTCATCATTAGGGATCACACCAGGGGTGTTGATGGTCTGAACAAACAGCTGGACCAGTGCCGCGAGACCTGATTAAGAACAAATTGGACATCTTTACTCCCAGTGGCGTCAAACAACCTGAGCCGTGCATCACATTTTTCTGAAACAGCATTCCTCACAATGTTCTATGCACTTATTATGATATTGTTAACAGGAAAGGAAAGGGGAGTCGCTTGTTATTCGGAAGGGGAACGTCCCAACCAGAAAAAGAACTGTCACAGATTTCCCTTCTGTCAGTTACACGGGGATTGCCCTTTCTCTTACGAGAAGAGCCATCTCAATTTTTTAAGTTGAACCGTTTCAGCATTGAGTCATGGCGGATTTTTAAGCCCAGCAAAAGTATTTTAAAAAAGCTTTCCCCGTTACCTTCTCCAGTGACAAGTTCCCCATCAAGAAAATTGCTTTTAGGGAGCAGAATGTCCCTGAGCAAAAATTTCAGCTTTTCCAAATCACCAAGGAATGTAGGATTGAGACGATTTTTGTTGTCATTGATATTTAATAACACCTCGAAGTGAGCCGTTGGAAAAGGTAACGTAAATGCGTCGAAACAGGAAAAGAAGCTTAGAATGCGTTTAATTTCTTTCTGAATTTCCTGGTCGATAGATGAAGAATCCCGAGATTGAAATACCTAGTGGTACAAAAAAAATGCAACGTTAGTCTGAAGAAATATGAAACATTTAGAATGGTTGTCTGTGTGCAAGTCTACATGCTGATAATCAACCCACTTGTCTTTTAGTAAAGATTTAAGGATAATTACTGTAAGATAAATATCTAGACATTTTTAAATTCTGGCAGGCATTCCATTAAACCTTCTCGAACATTATATCTTGCTGTTGTCTTCTTCAAATATCTGGGGGTTAAAAGGTCGAAAAATTTGCCCCGGTAAACGTGGGGTAATCAACATAATTCAAAATGGCGTCTGTCGCCGTATACCGTTGGCTAGAATGACCAGGCTGGAAAAAGGAAATGTGTGTCAGAATACTCAAAAGAAAAGAGCTTCAAAGTTTTTAATCAATGATGAAAACAGTCCCATTGTCGAACCATCCTCTGAAACCATTAAGGCGGTTTTTCCCTCTTTCTGCTCCATTCTTTGATCAAAATACACCTTTGTAGACCTCGCAAACGTTCGAGAGAATACTCAAATGGAAATAAATGGGCTTCAAAATCTTAACATCGTACAATGATCACTCTGGGTGATGATAGGTGATTACTGTAAAGAACACGCCCCTGATCAGTTAGTCTTAGCAGTTTCAGTGTATCGGATTTCAGATCGCTCTGTCGCTCAGCCAGTTTCGAGCAAGTCAACGCATTGATCTCGAACTCCGGAACGAACACCCTCTCGACCTTAGTCAATCGCTAGCGTTTTGGCTTCCACTCTCGTAAGTAGTCCTGTCACAGAAATCCAAGCAAAGATCCATGTCAAAATCTCAACCAGACGATTATCTATTTCCACTGTGGCTGTAGCGTAATCTATTCGAGCATCTTGATCACAGATCGCTTCGCACAGGCGCCGACTCATATTACATCGGCAACCACGTGCGCATCATGACAAGAAAATTCGGCTAAGAAACGAAACATTAATTGGCCTCAGGACTCTGTCCCAGGTATGCAGCGCAGAGCTTAATACGCTAGATTTACCAGGTTTTGTCGCCGGCTATTTGGCCATGATCCGAACGTACGATGCAGAGCTGAATTCCCTCATGCTCGTTGTTCTCGAGGTTTTAATCGTGGGCAAGCGTTCGTGGTTTTTGTTTCTATTTTTCAGTCAAGCATTCAGACTTACGCGCGACATACACCAAGTCTAACCCGTCATCTCTTTCACCACCAACAACTTCTCCATCAGCTCCCACTCCTAAGAGTCGCCAGGCTTGGAACTATAAGGGCTCTTGTTCTTGTGATTCCTCTGCTAGCAACTACACTTCAAATCACGTTTGCAAGTACACCGAGCATCCTATGCTGCACCGCCCGAAAAGAGAGATGCCCATTCCCGGCCTTCGATGACTAGACATTCAAAGTTTTGGTTTATCGCAATGCACAGATTTAGAAACTGCCTCGGACACGGACACGGACACGATTCGGAACACAATGCTTTATTAAAACATGAATCTCTCTCGTTTAATTGATCGCGTGCGGTAATTGCTCATATTCTTGCCTCGAAATATCAGCAACCGAACGCATTCGGAGCAAAAGTTACCGTTCATTCCCAGCTCAATCTGTCGGTTTGGAAACATTATTTGGCTGATGTAACTCCAGCTACAAAGACGAAAAAAAGTACTGCCATCAAGGTCCTCTGTAGTGTTTACTTCAAGGCTCTGAACATGGCCATTCGTACATAAATTATACTCTTCAAATGAGCGCCAGGAGGATAACATGCTTTTATTGTGATCAGCCTTACTCATTATTAGCTGATTAAAAATGTTCATTAGTCCAAATGGAGGGAAATGGAAGAAGTTATTGGACAATGATGCCATTTGGAAGGGGTCCAAAATTTTTTTTCCAGCTGGAAGCGTAAGGTATCTTAACAAATATTCATCAGTGGTCTCATTTTGAAAGTCAGGGTCAGTAGGAAGGTCCATAAAAGCAACCGCTTTAGCTGGTTGAGTAAGTTTGGGTTTGCGGTAAATGGAGACTTGAACACCCCAGGCAGAAATGAATGCTTTAATTTGTTTCACATCCATTTGGTTGAAGTTGAGATTAAAAGATGTAGCAATGGCTTGTTTTGAAGATGGTTGCTTTGTAGTGGTAAATGCAGTTTTGTCTGTAGATGTTTGGGAACTGGTTATAGTAGAGTAAGATGGTTGCTGGACAGCACAAGGTTTAGTACATGTAGCTGTATTGAACTGTTTCACAGAAGAGGTTTCTTCGGCACTGGTAGCTTCTGGAGATTGAGTTGGCTCTTTTACAGCTGTTCTAAAGTACGAAGACAATGTTTTTGTATTTAAAGAAGTTAGATCTTGACCAGGTTGCTTGGATTCTGTAGCTTTAATCTAAGGTGGTTTGAAGAAGGGATGAGTTGGTGACGTTTGTTTCACAACTTTGGCATATGAATTACCACTGTTTTCTGAAGCTATTGAAACAGAGGATACTGCATTCTCTGGCAGAGGAGCACTACAACAGCTACCTCTGGGCAGAAGGAGATTAACATGATTTGCTTGAGCCTACTCATTATGATCATTTAAGTGATTGGACACATTCAATTCTTTTTTGTGAACGATGAAAACGAATCAGTGTTCATAATCGGTTCAAAGTTGTACCATTTTTTTCTGCGACGATAGGAAGGTGCCAATGGGTCGCTTGAGGAGTGCTGCACAGCTGAAGATGTCCACGGTTTCAGCCCAAATTCCCGTGATTTTACTGTTTTCGACATGATCCTCCACGGAGTTCGAAGAGATGGTTATTTATACAAAAACTTACAATTCCCACGTATCAACATTGGTTTCATCCTTTTCTGATAAAACGGCTGCAAATAAGCGCTGAATTCTCTCAAAAATCATTTTTTGGGAACCGTTTCTGGCGATTTCTACCGCTTTAAGCTTGCTTTACCATCACTGTTATTCCGGTCGAAATCGGAGTGTACAGCCTTAACTTTGTCTTTTGACAGAAATAACAGTGATGGTAACGCAATCTTAAAGTGGTAGAAATCGCCAGAAACTACAACGGACACACAGGATGAGTAAGTTTTATTGATTTTACTTGCAAAATGTTCATATTTCGAGGTATTTATCGTGGTAAATCTACCAAATTTCGTTCCCCATACTATTCCTTACAACGTTTTCAAATTTTCAACGGTTCCTCTCGTAACTTAACAGCGAGACACAAACGCGTGACGCTTTCATGAATTAATCGTTAGCTTTTTCTCGAGACGTGAGCTTGGGCCACCTGTGCCCACCGCGCCAGCGTATCGTTCTGCTTATCAATAAACTGTGTTGCCCACACATCGTAGTCTGTGTTTGATATTAATAGTAATTGACAACGATAGATAAGGGAATATTTTGTCGCGCCGCGTGAGCGATTTCAATGCTTGTCTTCAAGTTCCTTTTCGTGTATCTATTTGGCTGCCACATGGCTATAAGTTACACGTACTTGGCAACTGGTTTACCATGTTTGAGGTTTTACAGATTTCATGTGATTTGACCTTTAAGAGATTTTATTCTTTCTTCAAGTTGATTTCGCGTATCTGTTTTGGCTATACTTTACACATATTTGGCAGCTCATTCACCGCGTTTTGAGTTTTACAGATTTCATTTGTTTTTAACCTCCTTTCATGTAAGGCAATTATACTCCAAGTTATTTCGCTCCTGGTGCGTGAATCTTTGATTGCAATTACCCGTAAGGCCTCGCAACTTGCTCGAGCGCTCTCCAACAAAACTGCCAAGTACGATAGTTATTACGACCTCTCATGCAAAATCGCCTACCTATCATGCAACAAATCTCCAAGCGAGTTTGACAACTTAACGCTTACACAACGACAAGTTCATTTTAAAGTATTCTCGCTATTTAAATGATGCACCGGAACCTTGCCAATAATCGAACAGAAAGGTACAAAATTTCACAGCAAAATGATGTAGTAGTGTGAACCCCATGGTTTGGCACCGGGAATACCTATTTCGCATACCAATCGGTAGGAACTACAATACAATCAATATCAGACAGATTGCCTCAACAACTCTCTCACAGAACTGCAAATTCGAGGCACTTCCTTTCGTGAATTCATAATTGACGCACCTTCTTCAAAAAGAAGTCTTTAATGTCGTGGCAGTCATCTGGAATAGACTCTGTTACGTCTCTCAACAGCCAAATGAAGAAAGGAAAAGCTTTGCGGTAATATTCTGAGGCATGGCACCTTCTTGCGATACGATAGGTCAGCTTTACTATGAAACTGTATTTGTTAAAGAAAAAACTTATTGATCCCAACAACTATGAACACAGTTTAGTATGAACTCATGATCCTGACTTACTATGTTAGGGACAAACTTTCCTTGATCGCCCCTTAATCGTGGCCCAAACCAGATCTCCTCTATCCTCAATATTTATTCCAGGTGCTCTACATACTTCAACACTTAGTACACTGTAGCCTTTCCATGTTATCTATGATAAAGTTATGGGACACCTTACTCGTGCGTTGACCTATTGTACCCTGGCTATGAACATTTCACTTTATTTTGTCCAGCTTCCTGATACTTCAGCTCTAAGGTTATTTCAGCCTAGTCCTACCCTTTAGTAACTTGCAAGAGCTTTTGCTAAATTAATCAATGAAATTGAGATTACTTCATGGAAAATGCGCGCGTACGATCTTTATTTACAGGTAAGGCAGCGCCCGAAAACTAGTCAGCGCTGCGAAACAGCGAGTTTTCTGTATCAAAGAGCGATTAAAAATCTTAAAAAGCATTTTCCATGCCGTGATGTGTTATTTAGGGATTTAGGGTTCATTTTCGCGCAGTGTTTTCCACCGAAAAATTTATTTTGCACAAATGTAGCGCTGAAAAGCACGTAATCAAATTTAATTGAAATGGTTTAAATTGCAAAATCGCTCAAGGCTTAGCAAATCAACATTTATAACTCTCAAGATGTTCTAGCAAAGACAAATGTCTTAATATTCCACTAGGTCTAAAGTGACGAGTGTTTTTCAGCCAGAACGTCATTAAAAGTGCCTCGTGACTCCACATTCCCAGCAATTCCTAGAAGCTACCGACGATTAGGGTTCAATTCCCCTTCCTTGCTTCTTGGCTGTTTTTGTTTGAACTGAAGAACGTTTCTGGTGTTCTCAAAGACTAATTCGTTTATTATCCCGCAGAATAGCCCTTTTCCTTCAAGTTTCATGCGAAGTAAGCCATTAAACTTCGAAGCGAATTCGGTTTGAATTGCGAACGGAGACGACGAATTGGCTTGTGTATTCACTCACCTTTAAAGCTTGCACATTGTCTATTTTCCTTTCTTCGTCCTTTATTTTCAAAAATCTTTTAGACAATCTAACTTCTAGCTCATTTTTTTATGTAGTGTTTTCGTCTTCTTGTTCTTAAATAAATTCTTGAGCTAAGCAAACACAAGCAAACCTTCCCTCGGCCATTTTTCAAAGCGCGCGGTTTTTTCGTACAATAGCTGTCTGATGACGTTCCCTCCAACACGTTCATTCACCACTAGAGATTTCATTGTTCGGGTTGTTGATTAAACAAACGACACAATTTTCACCGTAAAATTTTATCTTTCTTACTTCTGATTGGCTACGTTTAAAATCAGCACGAGTTTTATCCTCTGTAATTTTTTTGAATAAATAAATAAATAAATCCCGGTACCTATGATTAGCCAGGCTGCACATTCGCAACACTTGTTTCAAATACTCTGTTGTTAGTGACGTAGCCTCTCTCTTAAGCCCCGGTGGAGGTCTCCTCACCTTGTAATTAGCATGCTGTAGACTTATTTATAGTTATTTAAAATCAAATGATGAAAAAGGTACGATGAAAATTGATCGATTAATGCTTGTGTTCTATAGTTAAAGGAAAAAAAACCAGCTAAAATATTACTATGATAGCTTTTTAAAGTATTTGAGAGGATACTTCAGTCCATGAAGATCGCATCTGGTTGGACTACCCCGTGAATTGTAGATAAAAGCCGAGGCCAGCAAAACCGTCAAAGTAAATATCTGCTCATCACCAAGCTCATCTCTATCTACGGCGTCAATTCCCTCAGAGTCTAGCAACACTACTGTAAATTCCTGGCCTTTGGCATCCTTATAAGAAAAGACCCTTTTTAAGTAAATATCCTTGGAAAACTTTATAAATGCAGGATAAACATCAAAACTAAAGATCAGCCAAACCTTATACTTTTCCTTCACTATCCATAACCAGATTCCCATGGTTTCCGATTCCAACCCATGTCCAAGACGAAAAACTTGTGGTTGACTGAACACCTCACTAAGTATAAAGGATTTTCCACTTCCGCGTGGTCCAACAATGGAAACTACACAAACTGGACCTAGGTGATCAATGATGACATTAATGACTTCTACTACTAGGTTCAATTAAAATCAAAGTTAAGTTTACAACAAAAATATGGAAAAGCTTGAACAAGGACTTGAAACAAACAACAGAAATCAAAATCTTTAATACACGTTTATTACTGAATTAATTGGCAATCTAAAATGAGGTTGGACGTATTATTGTCAATAGCTTTTTTGAAATTTTTTTCTTATTTATCTATTTTCTGTATTTGAACATCGATGCTAAACAACAGGGATATTTGAAAAAGTGTATGTTTGTATCAAAATGATGTATGTATGTTTGTATGTATATGTATGTATGATTATGTATCAAAAAACTACGTAAATAGAGCTTTTGTCAGATCTCCTGATTTTAATTAACAAATAGAGAAGCCTTGACTGTGTTCTGTTCTGTTATAAAGCACGCAGGAAGCGGCTAGAGCACGAAAGAAGTGTAGGGAGAAACACGAGACGTAGTCGAGTGTTTCTTCCCACTTCTTGTCTCTATTTGTTTTATAATAAAGGATCCGTTAAAGTACCCAAGCATTACTTTCAATTTCCAAAACAAACTTTATTTCCAAAGCGAACAACAGTGTCGTCAGCATGCTCTATACTCTCATAAAGCACGCTACAATAAGCCAATCAGAATCCCTGTTAGAATGGTTCAAATACTCTGATTGGCTGTACAAGACTAAAGCTGTCAAAAGTGTCAAACCATCAAAGTTCAAAACCATCAAAGTTCACATTCTACGATAGTTTACAAACTAAAATAGTTCGGCAAGTCGAATTTAACACTTTTGCTAGAAGTTTTTAAGTCTGTAATACAGAATCTTGAAGTGAAATGTTCAGTGAACTTCAGCCGAATTATGGCTCATAAAAACACGTGAGTTTTTTCACATGACAAGGTAGAAAACAAACTGTTCAAGGCGAGTGTTTTTTGAATGAACGACAGCCGAATTCACCGGAACATGAAGATCGCTCGGGATGGCAGCGCCGCAAAACTCGGTTGCAGTGACTGATGTGACTTTCCACTCAACGCATCGAAAAGGATATCAGAGCAAGCTCTTATTTTTTTTACTCGAAGGCCGGCCGATGTAGTTTCTGAGGCTTTCTTTACCGTGATGACCGGAGATCGCCATGATGAGCGAGCCGCGATGAACTTCAGCATGATCATATTCGCTCAGACACCGTCATGATTAGTATGAATTTTAACAGTTATGCCAGTTTGGTTATATTTTTCATCATTTCTATTTTGTTCTGTTTTGTTTTGAACACTGAACTTTAAATACTATATGAGTGTTAGCTGTGTTTGATTTTTATTTCCGTACATAAGCTTGCAATCTAACTGAGCGTGAAAATCTTTAAAACTCGGAATGTCTATTTTGTTTTTCCTTTTGGATTTTCGTATCTGCTCACGTTTTAATCACGTAAATTACGGCGCCTGGTATGTTTACAAACCTTTGTTTGGTTCTTCTGTTGCTACTTGCCGGCTCGCTTCAGTTCCGAAATTTCACTTTCAGTTATCGGAAAAAAAAGCTAAAAAGAAGTCCCGGAAAAGGTCGAACATACTACAATTTGACAGATGGCGTGACAGCTTTAGCTCAGCTCTATGCTCTATACTCTCATAGAGCACGCTCTTTCAACCAATGACAGCACGCGTTATATCCGAACTTTATTATAAATAGTGCTAGGAACATATCATGTGTGACATGGGTCAGTCGGAAGCATCATGTATGGAAATAGATTGAGAGATATGCTTATTTATTAAAAGAATTGTGTTATCTTTAAAAAAACGAAATGTGTAGCTGTAGATGTTTCTCCAAAGAATGTTATATGAAACAGTAGATTCTTAGTACTAAAACAATGCCTAAAAATCGCCTTTAATAGAAACCAGCAAGACCAATGAAGTGAAAAGTATTATGGATCCCTGTTTACGAAACAAACGTGAAACGAGTTACGAGTTCCAGTTTTGAGATATAAAGTAACTTAACCTTGAATCCTCCTAAGTTTTTCTAATGCTTCATCCACCACATAAAGTGAGGTTCGCCTTTCTCCCGTCAGAATGTACTGGCCCAAATTCGAGTTCCACTTTACGTTGTTTGGAAGGCAAAGTGGAGTTGCTCCTTTGTCCATTGCTTGGGACCCTGCGTTCCATTTAAAAATCAGAATTACAAAAAGCCACTTTACGGCAATCATGAACAATGGTATTCTGGTATTCTGAGCGTGTTTTTAATAGTAGATCAAAACATGTCACTAGAGAGCTATTAAAGCGTGTGTGGGTGGGTGAGTTTGTGCCTGCGTGCATGTGTATGTGCGTGGGGTTGGGTGAGTGAGTGACTTGGGAGTTTGGTATAAATTAAAGAATAATTGGGTAGGGGGTACACTCACACGTCATTTGTTTTAAAAACTCCATTGGGGTACCCACATCGCGTCATGCCTTGTCGCGTCATGCCCAGTCACGTCATACCTCGGAGGGGAAGGGAGGTTCACTCACACGTCATTTGTTTTAAAAACTCAATAGGGTACCCACGTCGCGTCATGCCTTTTCGCGCCATTCCCTGCACATCACGCCCTACACGTCATACCTTTTATAGACCCGAAGCGTAACACAATTGCTGCTGCAAGCAGGTTGGAAAAAGTTTTTTCTGTTTACAAGAGTTGATGGATTCGGTATTTCAGGAACTTTATAAGTTTATTTTGAAATTTTTATTTTCTTTCTTTCGTTTGTAAAGTCTGTTCTACATTCTTCCATTTCAGAGTGTTAACAAGAGCCCACCGAAAATTTTAATATATTCAAGTCCAAAGACGATGATACAATTTCCGAAAATTGGACAAACATTAACATGAATTCGCCAACGAAGGTAAGACAAAAAAATTACACTCGATGTATCAATTATCAAAAGAATATCTAAGTCTGATTCACATCTTGTCATTTTAAGAGCCCATGTCCGAATCCGAGATTGAAGTTGTATCATCGTCTCCTACCGAAAGAAAAGCCCTCAGAGTGCGTGAATGAAAGAGGAATCAAGATAGAGTAAGAGAACAGATAAGACGTTATCGTAAAATAAAACAGAAAAAACTCGCAACCCGGTCAGTAACAGTGAAGTATTTTGTAGAAAGTTAATCAAAGAATATTTGTGTTCATTTCAGTGCGCACAAGAATCTGGACGAAAAGGGCAGGTCGAGGAAAGGTAGTTGATAAGGGTGTTTAATCAAAGATTTGTAATACCTACAATCTAACACGAAAGATAAAAGATTTTAATTTAAGACAAATGAATTACAATGAAGACGCAGAAAGTGAGTAATTTCTTATTAAACCCCTCTAATCTGGAAATTTAGAACGTTATCCATGACTTAAAATTAGAAGTAGAATTGGTAAAGTGAATTTGTACATATCTCAGTTTTTTTCACGGCAAAGCCAGTGAAAAACAAAGAATGCGTATGTTTAAAAGTTTTCTGGTATATATCTAATTCCACTGTTAGACTCCATGTTCTCATCAGCAGATAGCGATAGTCTATGCCGAGGACAATAAGCTAGTTACAAGATCTCTTGGAAGATAAAACCAAAGTCGTGACAAAAATCTACACGTACCTTCGTAATGAGGCCATTCTTCAAACATAAAAGGGTTTCTCAACATGTTAGATACAACAGAAGCTGCCATAACACTAGCAAAAGTCTTCCATGAATCGTTTGTAGATGTAACATCACGTACAAAACCACAAACACCTTTAACGAAAATCAAATCCATCCCCAGGTAATGAGCTACTGTAAACAGATCTGAGGTAGAAAAATGAAAAAATGACGAAAAAAGGAAGAACAATTGGAATGGATTTACACAATGATATTGAAGGGAGATGGTTACGATTAATGTGAGCAAAAGAGGCATCGTTTTTCTGCAGATCACTCTTCTTGTTTTTCCTTTGCCACTGGAAGTCTTTCAGAGATGTTGTTTTTTTCTGCAGGTATATAAATTAGAACCACTCTTCCTAGAGAGTACAGTAGGGTGGGGTACCTTTAGGGTCGGAAGCGGTATATCAAAGAGTAAGGATTTGGAATTCTGGAAAGAGTTTCCTTGAACAAAAAGTATTGAGTACCTCTCCTTCAACAAGAACCTGGCCTAACAGTTTAGCAACCAGAAGCTTTAAAAGGTTCAAGTTGGCAAGTTGGAGGGTATACTGTAATACACGTTACCATTGTACACCTGTGCTTACCCCTTCCCGTACAAAAAAATTGTTAAGTACCTCCCCTTCTCCTAGCTTAATAGCTTAGCAACTAGAAGCCTCTTATAGTTCAGAGGTAAAGCTTAAGAGCATCAAAGTGAAGGGTACGCTTCAATACTCATTACCATTGTACACTTGTAGTGACCACTCCCCATACAAAAAATTGCTAACGTCCTCTCTTCCTTCAGAAACCTGGCCTTATGGCTAAGTGACCAGAAGCTCCCCTCTGACCCTGTAGCCCAGAGGTAAAGCTAGAGAACATCAGTTTGGGAGTACAATGTAATACACATTCTGTTTGAAGACCTGCAGGACTACTCATAATTTATTTCTTGTTCGCAGTGCGCCTTTTAAAGTGACTGAGAACAATCAGTGATTCTGGTAACATTATATCGCACTTATTATGAATAGTGACTGTTAAAGTAAGTTTCTAGAAATCTCGAGAATGCCTAGTCAAGCTGACATGCATACCATGAAACTTTCTAGAACATTTTATCACATCACGTAGTTACATATTTTGTTTCACTACCGAAATAGCTGTGTTGTAAGCTTCCTGAATGTTCTGGAATACTTTCTAAACATGGACTCAGTCGTGAAGTAATAGTTGTTTCTCTTGTCAGGAGCGATCAGATGTTTGGAAAGCTATACCGAGAGAAAGAGCTAATGTGAAAGATTAGCAGGTAATTTAGTGTTAACAACTGGGTTGAAAACGTAAATTAGCCACCGTAAAGGATAAAAAAGCTGACGTTTCGAGCGTTAGCCCTTCGTCAGAGCGTTTGCTATACTCTCCCACCGACGCTGCACCACAGTTTCTTTAGAAACTTACCCCTTTATTCAATGTGAAAGATTGTTCACTTCAAGGAACTTTGGAAACAACCATGAGATTATTTCAGTGGTGAGCTACAGTATTGTGAAAAAGTAAGGCAAACGAATTTCGAAGAATTTCCTGGCTTTGCGAGGAAATTTCGCTCTGAACAAAGTTTCCGCGAACTTTCCGTGATCTTTGGAAGCACCTATTGTTTTAAAACGCCGAAATTACGAACGATTTTTCGCCGCGAACGTTAACGAGTTAAGAATGTTACACGTTGTTTAATAAAGTACTTGAGTTTGTAGAAGTATGGTGTTCATTCTGTGGGTCAAATTATACAGTAACACACTGAACACAACAAATAGATGTAATCCTTGTTATGGCAAAACAACTTTCTACACAATGATTACAGATGCCAAGCAAGAGTAACCCTGAGAGTAATTCTCACCTTTTTGTTCCATTCCAAATGCAATTGCCTCAGAGTATACTCGACACACCTGTTTAGCAAAAATTAGATCAGAGCCACACAAAATCGCTCCATCAACCTGTAATCGGACACTTCGTTCTTCTGGGTCTTCTAATGGTGCCTCCCATCCATGACCGATGCGACTGATAAGATCAGAAACATTCCTACTCACTGGGGCTGTGAGAAAATCTGTTATAACCTTTGAGGGTATCACCACATCTCCTAGCTGGGCTTCGTCAGGATCCAAAAAGGTAGCCTTAGGTCTCAGGAGTGTGACGGTATTCATAAAAGCAGTTTGAGTACTCTTAGGATCCAAGGATTCTTTAGGACGCTTCACTAAAGAAACTTTCAGTGACTCATCTTCGTTGTCACCCATCTTTCCAAAGTACACAAATCCAATGGATTTCTCAAAGCTTTTAAAGGAATCTCGCAAGTAATGATAACAAGCCAAGAACTCGCAATCCTCCACAGTCAAAAGCAGAATATCAACTGGAGGATAGTGCTTGTCCCAACGTTTCAACTTATTTGGCAAATCTCTAAGCTCCTTCAGTGTAATACTCAGAGGTGGAGGGTCATCACTGCAAACCACAGAGCTGCTCCACTTGTCATTACTAGATCCTGCCATCATAACAAACTGGATCTGTGTTCAAAGTTTTCCTAAAAGTGAAAAAATTAAATTAGAAACTAATTAAAAAAGAGATCAACATAAATTATTTGTAAACACACGTTTGCTTATTAGCATGTCACATCTCTGAAAGGTGATCAAAGTGTGGCAGTGGGAAATGCTGATATACAGCAAGACTAAAAAGTCTCAACCATACCTGGTAACTGGCATTAAATGTAAGAATAAAAGAGATGTGTCCAGAGAAACTGTGGTGCTGCTTTGGTGGGAGAGTATAACAGGGTAATTAAGTATTACCAACTGAGTTGACAAAGTACATTAACCACTGTAAAGAGTTTTAAAGGTGACCTTTCGAGCATTAGACCCTCTCAGTCGCTCTGACCCATGGTAGAAAACCCTTGCTGCTGGGACCTCCTTGTTGACAACCTAATAACCAAAGCAAGCACCCAGTTGTATACATTGAAGGTTTGCAAGTTTTACAGCTATTATCAAGATTAACTCAACAAGTTATTTGACTCCCTCATCTTATCCCTCTTTGCATATTGCCTGGAGGTCCAGGGAATTTACAAAATCACCACCACAAAAAACCATAATGGCATCCACCTCAAGATCTGTTGCCACCAATACTTAGGAAAAAGGGGCATGAATTCCTACTCCCCCAGATAAGAACTAATATAAACGAAAAACTTGTTAGTGAAAAGATGTCTTTTAAACTTGTGTGATCATATTCTGTTGTGTTTGATTATCTCTTTTTATTGTTGTAGATATTAAATTTTCTCTATTGTTCATGATTTCGACTGTAAAGACTCACTTCTGTCGAGTCTGATTTTTTCAATAAAGACTTCACGACCACCATCATCAAGCATGCTCCATAGTTCTATCCCTACCCATAAATAGTATTTGTTAATATTTAACTATAAACCACACTTTTGAGATTTCAAAGAGTGAGTTTTCTAACCATTAAAACATTATTTTTCCTCAGATGTGCAAAACTTTTGCATGCAGATGTCACCAACATTTTTAACAGTGGTGTTCCGCTAGCAGCACATGCAAAACCACAATGTGCAGTTCATTAACAGTTATCAGCCAAGTGTTGATGAAACCAGAGAAAATCAGTTCTTGAATCAAGAATACCTTTTGGTGGAACTCCTGATTTTTAAAGTAAATCAACATAACACAAAAAAAGAGAAGTAGGAATTTGAATGACACAGCTGAACAGCCAGATTACAAAGTACAATTCAAAGTTATGGCTGCCCCAATCAACTTTTCAGAACATTTGAAGACAATTTCCAACTTTTTAGTTATACTCTTTGCATTTTCAAAGAAAAATTAGGTCACTGGTCCCCAGAGACATTTTAGTCACCAGCCACATTAAATAAAAAACACTACATATGAAGCCTAAGGCTAAAATTTAATTCAGATTTAGACAAGTGATCACTGCTTTGTCTAATCTAAGTACAGTGTGATTAGTTACCAGCCAAAAAATTCCAGCCTCTGGTGCTTCTGGAGAAAAGTGATTTATTTGCATGAACAATATTTGATTACTAAATTTACTGCCCCCTGTGTTCTACTTTGTTTTGTTTGATTTTTGTTATTACTTCAGAGTTGTTTCTGTAAATAGATTTTTAAATGTCTAAAGGAACATAAATTTTGCACAGTTAAGTTAGTTAGTTAGGAAGCCCTTCTTATAGGGATAACCTCAGGGGTCTCCCTTTCAAATATTCTAAGTTTGCGATTGAATCAGGAGTTATCATTATTATTTTATTCATCATTATTATTATTTTCATAATTCCATAATATTATTATTATTGTTGGAAGTATTGTTTTGTTACTCCTTTTAGATTCATAAGATCAAGATTCCAGTAAGTTAGCTTAAGAGGGAGGGAACATTTATCCTTAATGGCTTAAATTTTGCTTATAGGAGGAAGTTCATTCCATTTTTCACTATTCCTAAAAAATTTGTTATCAAGAGACAAAAAAAATGTGTACTGAACTTAAATTTACCTTTTCAGACTTGATGGCTGATCCTCATGGAGCTACTTGTAGTAAGTTTCATTTTTCCCTTTTGTAAATGGTGTAATATTGGAAATTAGTTTTTATCTGAAATAAAAGTTTTGCATTCATATTCTGTTTATTGAACAACAAAACTTCACTGACACAAGTTGATCGACTCACTGCACTCTCAGTCCACTTAATTTACACACAAGTTTTGTTCATTAGCTTGGGTAAGAGCTAGTCTTTAGTTATTGTCCTGATCAAGCAAACAAGTTTAAAACTAGGACATCAAGTGAAGCAAGTCATTTTTCTATTTTTGATCCATGCACTGTGAGTTTAATCCAATAGTGGTAACTTAATTTGGTATGTTTTGACCATTGCTATGGAAGTCATGGAAATGCAAGTTTGATTGATTGGCTGAAGTGGCAGGAAACAGCTCATTTTAGAAGCTGTTCATCTTCCTTGTCTCAAATAATTCTCTTTAATCCAGCTGTCGCTATCAGAAAATCACTTTTATATAACCCTTAATTGACAAGCACAATAACAAACTAATCTGAGATATGGAGGACAACAATGCTACTCTGTGAAAAGGGGGAGTGCTTAATCAACAAGATAAAAATAAAACAATTTGAAACTGTCTTAAAATTAGTTATAAATGGTACTCATCTTTTGAAAGGGTTAAGAAGTGATGCTTTCAGTTGTAACAATATACCTTCAATATAACAAACTATTAATATATAATAAAGCTCTCACCAAATATGAACATGTCTCATACTAATACTGTATTGATAAATATATTTTTTCCCATATAGATTAAAATAGTAACCTGAGGTAAGCCCAGAAGACAGTGATAATCGTTATACATAGACTGAGTGAACAGTTTGTTACAATGAAGATTTAGATATATGAAAATTCACATATTTGCACTGCGGTGGAAAGATGAAATTAGAAGATCCTCGCAGCTAAGAACACTACTGAAACTAGTAGTTGTAAGTAGGACCTGAAAAAAATTTCAGGCCCATACGGGATTTGAACCCATGACCTCTGCGATACCGGTGTTGGTAGAGCGCTGCACCGGTATCGCAGAGGTCATGGGTTCAAATCCCGTACGGGCCTGAAATTTTTTTCAGGTCCTACTTACAACTACTAGTTTCAGTAGTGTTCTTAGCTGCGAGGATCTTCTAATTTCATCTTTCCACCGCAGTGCAAATATGTGAATTTTCATATATCTAAATCTTCATTCACTCGGATGTTTATTTGCACCCAATTCATTGACCAGCTCCCAGTTGGCTTGTTAGCTCAATTGGTAGAGCGCTGCACCGGTATCGCAGAGGTCATGGGTTCAAATCCCGTACGGGCCTGAAATTTTTTTCAGGTCCTACTTACAACTACTAGTTTCAGTAGTGTTCTTAGCTGCGAGGATCTTCTAATTTCATCAAGTTTGTTACAAACTTTTCCCGTTTTTGGTTGAAAAGGAGTTGATTTTCAGGTTAAACGACATTTAAATAAAAGAATAAAGAGTAGAAAGGGTTGAAAGACTCTTTTCTGGCAAAAAAAATTGGGGTTGCTAAAAGTTTTATTGCAAATTTCATTAGGTAAGGTAAATGCAAATTAAACATCAACGTTACGAAAGAAACTTGTTTTGTTTCAAGATATCACGGAGAAAATCTTGCTGTCTAATTAAAAAACAAGGAGCTTACAAAATGGCTGATAAGACTTAAATTAGTTCAAGGAATGAGACTTTCATCTTTGATAAACATAAATTAAAAATTAACAGTTGAGGCATAACTTACCTTGATATTCGCGTTTTCCGGTCGATCGATGTGGATGTGAAGATCGTTGATGTTGCTGCAACTGATACAAATTTCTCACCGAACACAAGTCAAGATTACACTTACATCTTTTTTGATGTATTGGTTTATCATTAAAAATTCCAAGCAGGTCTTATTACGATTTAAATTCTGTGCAAGCGTATGCATTCTTGCGTTCTAGAGTTCTAGCGTTTACGTGCCTGGCGAAGCATCTTCTTCCCATCATTCACTGGGATATTTTCACGGAATCTGGGGAGAGGAGACGGGAGGGTTGTACCGGCTCAATCAACATGATCTCGAAACCGAAATAATGAGTAACGATAATCATTATTTCGGTGTCGAGATCATGTTACAACATGATCTCGAGACCGAAGACTCGAAGCCTGGGAACAAGTATAAAGGAAAGATAAAATGGCGGCTTACGGCGGCAAACGAAATTTTAGTAGTTTAGTATTTTAGCGTGAAAAGGCTTGGGTGCTATGATCTAGTTCTCAAGTTAAAAAGCTCACTATCTGCAATGGCTCTACCACCTTTTGAATTACAAGAAAAGCATTGAAACGGTGGTGAGAAAGCAGTAAGTTTCGAAGTCTAAACGAAAGATGGGTAAGCTGAGTTTTAGTCAAATATCATGTCGTTTGGGATGTAATTTCGACACCAAATAAATAGCTTTACATGGCTTTACACGCAGAGGATTCTACTGTGTTCACATGAAGGCCTATATCAGCCATTTCTGCCTCTTGTAAGTTGTAGGAAATAAAAATGCATTCTTGTGTCATGTGGAAGCCCTATGAGATCACAAATATGATTTATTTCTTCTTTGTTTTAGGTGGTCATCATCCATTATTTTTGGAAGTCGATGCTGATGGGAAAGAAAAAATGTTTACGGTTATCTTCTCTCGAACATTTTAATATTAAGCTACCAAATAATCTTGATGCTGAAGATCATTACATCCTACCATGAAACATTTGTCCCCTGATTGCTTTGTCAACTTTAATGTATGATGTAATATAGTTTGTGATTTATGGGAGTTTTTCAAGTAAACTAGAAATACCTGAAGAGGTTAAAGATGTACTTAATGCAAAGCATTTTTTTACAAAGTCTGCTTTGCCATAATCTACCTGAAGGTGCTTTTAACATGCTAGTAAGACTTGCACAGCCCAATCAAAATGTTTTTGAGTGGTAGGCAAGCTGGCTGTAGTAATTATTGGCAGCAGAGGCCAAACCTCTTCTTGAAATGCAGTCTGAAAAGTGTGACGTCAGCGGAAGATGATTGTAGGCAGCAAAATTGCAGGCTGCCGGCCCATTTTGAGTGAGCAGTAAAAATCCAGATTTGCTATAATTTTAACTAATTTTATTGAGAGCCAAACCCTGCAAGGCTTATATTGTGTATTAGTTTGAAGTGTTTCTTTTATGTTTCTTATTTTGCAGTAAGGTAGCTTGTTATGGCCATTTTTCTCTCAAACATTTTTTTCAGCCCAGTCAAAATGTTTTTGAGAAGTAGGTAAGCTGGCAATAGTAATAGGAAGTAGAGGCTGAACTTTGTTCAGATTAAAATTCTAACAAGTTTGAGGTAAGCAGTATAGATTTTGTTGTAGGCAGCCAAGTCCCAAGCTAATGGCACATTTTGACAGGGCTATTTGTTATAAGCTACTGAGTAATCTTATCATTAAAGATTACTGCATTCCTTTCTAATAATTTGCTGCTGATTGCATGCTGTATATAGCTTTTGATTTGTGTGATTTTCACAGGTAAACTAGAATACCCAAAGATAGTAATGATGTACTAGATGATGTACTTGATGCAGAGCAATTTTGGTACAAAGTGTATGCCTTGCCTGTAGGTGATTTTAACATGCTAGTAAGACTTGTGATTCAAATGACATACATTGGATGGAATAGGAATATTAAAAGAAAATAATGATATTTAACTATACCAAGTTTTAGTTTTTTCTAAATTAAGCTCTTTGTCAAAGATCACTTCACTGATCGGGCCCAGAAGGCTGAAACAGTACTGTCTGCTGTTAGTTTAATTTTTGTCATTTATATTTATTTATTTAAATTATCAATGTTTCATTGAGTTACAAATCACCGATTCTCAAAAGTGTAAGTTCACATGTGCAACCTAACATCACACATATGTATGTATGTATAAACCCAGTCAAAATGTTTTCAAGTGGAAGGCAAGCTGGCAATAGTAATAGGCAGCAGAGACTGAACCTCATCCTGAATAGAAGTCTGACAAGTGTGAAGTAAGCAGCAGATATTTCGTTGTAGTCGGCCAAATTGTCAGCTGCTGGCACATTTTGACTGGGCTGATTGTATGTAATATGTATGTGCACTTCTTTTAAGGTATTAAACAGGTCAAAGTACCAAAAAAGCTCTGTGATAACTTGGTAAACCAAGATGTTACAATTTTTTAATAATAAGATAAAGCTTGATCATTCTTAAGAGTTTGCATCTGTTCTCAAAATTTGGGGGAGAGTCAGGAGAACGTTATTTATACATGTGTATATAAAAAAAAAAAAAGGCACCAGGGTAAAATCCCAATTTGCTGTAAAAGTTTATTTTATTGAGAGAAAAACCCTGGACATAGCTTGGGATTTGTTTGATTTTCACAAATTGATTATTTGCCATCTGCTCTGTTCTTTTAAGTAAACTCCAGCCAATGAGAGAACAACACTTACTACTGAAAGAATTTGTTTGAGCGAGAATGATGATGATGTTTCTGATTCCAGTTGTAGTCCTGCCTCTCAGTGGTCTGCCCCTTCAGGGCTTGTCCCCCCTAGTGCTTGGATCCTTCAGATTGCTTTGAACATTCTTTATTCTTTTCTCTCTCACTCTACTGTAGTGTTCAGATGCCCTTGGTCTTTATTTGGTTTCGTCTTATTCTCTATCAGTTGAGGTCACCTGATGAGCCTCTATAAGGCCTAGCAGAAAGTTAGCTTGAACCTAAGACTTTTTCAGTCTTGGGTTCATTTTATTTGTTGATGTATAATGTTAAGTTCTTATTCAAGTTCTCATCAAGTACTTGAACAAGTTCTCATTCAGTCTCTTTACAAAGATTATCTATTTCCTTATCAGTTACCAAGGGTACTACAATATTTTTGGCAGCGAGAAGGGAAGCACTTGCGATTGCCACGTACCTTCCATACTTCAGACTCAAACCAATGGTGATCATTCCGAGTTCTCTCTTTACCATAAAGTTATTATTCAAGTGTTTCAGAAGTTTTCCTTCATCAACAGAGAGAAAATGAGCCAATGCTTTACATGAGAGCTGAAGAAATGTATCTACCATTGCATCGCAAGTCTTTGAGGACAATGAAGCTTTATATCTCTTGAAGTACTTCTCCACATCTTGTTCAGTAAGCTTCTTGACTTGATCCTGGGGGAGAGATACACCAACCATTTCCTTCGATATACCACTTGCAACGAAAACTGCGAGCTGCTCTCGATGTACTACTGGTTCAACCTCGAGGATGTTCCGAACATTTTTAACAGCGTCTTTTTTATTATTAGTCATCTCCATTTTATTTAGGAAATAGAAATATTTTCATGGAATTTGAAGATTAAAAGGGATGGCGAAGTGAGAAGATGAGATGTGAATACTTCTCACTCTTAAGCTTTGCCATCAGTTCTTTCTTTTTATAATTTATCAACTCACCCGCGTAATCCTCGAAAATGATCTTCATATATTTAGCAGATGGTATGTAGAGGTGAAATAAAGCAGCAGTGTTCTCTCTGAATGGTTTTACGATGCTTGTCATCTGTTGTGTGAGGACCCAAACACTGATTTCTTTACGTCTTGCGCTGAATGCCAAATTCACGAGTTCATTCGTCCTTTGCACCACATCTCTCGAAGCGGCGCGATCATCGAGATTGATCAAAGTATCTGTTCCCTAATACACATAACTAATAATCTTGAGCCAATCATCAATCTGGTCTTGCTGAGGTGTTGAGATGAGTAAGTCCTTATCATTTTCTGCAAATTTATGATACGTCTTGACGTGGATGAATGTCGGATAGGGGAGAACGATGTAATCGAACTTTCCTTGGAAGGTGGTGCCATGGAGCTATAGTGGCCATGAGCAAAAGTAGATATCCTATCTTCTCTTACTATTCTCTGATCATCGTTAGCGCTCAAAGCTATCTTGTTAATGATCTCAGTGGTTACCTCATGCCCATGTGATCTAATTACGATCATCTTCCTCATTTTGCATGTTTCCGCTGAATAGGCACTCCTTGTAGTCATCGTGAGTTATGTTCTTTTCTATTACAGCCCTCTTAATCCCTTTACACTTTTTCTCTTCTTTTCCCTCAAGAATCTTGTAGCTGTAGAGTCTTTCTCTCAATCTGACAAACTTTTCAATGATCTTTCCACCAGCTTCATCTTCCACCATTCCCACGACCTTCTTATTTTTTCCAGTTGGAATCCCTGATACGTTTTCTTCAGGGTAATTACTTGTGTGGAACTTATCTTTAACATCACCCCTTATATTTATATGAAAGTCTTCAGTTTCAATCTCTTAGATCAACCTTATAAATAATAATAATAAAGATTTGGAATCGGTTTTTCTACCCCATTAATAATCAGTCTCTCAGGAGCAAGTGGATAGACGTTATGACCGCCATGAAGCTTTTATTGAATACTCAACATATACAAGAATGCAATCGATATTTCCTCAGTTACCGAAGCTAGTCATCCACTTGAAATTTCCAACAGGAAGTGGTTGGCACATTGTCCAGCCATAGATATTGCTTTCATCGAGATGGGTGATGTATTTCCTTAGCTTTGTTTTATCATAAGCTTCATCCATGTATTTGTTGTTTGCCGGTGCAAAGCGTTTTGAGATCGCTGAGATTCCTCCCCGAATTCCTTTTTCATTCACCATTAGCATGCCAGGGTCACTCAATGGCTCAAGCTCAACGTTTTTCACCTTGAATACAGCGTGTCCAGCCAATCCAGGAGCGGTGAGAGACCAGGCAGGATCAGCTCATAATTCTCAAGAGAGACTTTTCTGAACACATCTGCAAGCAGGAAAACGTCACTGTCACTAGACGTCGAATAGAACCCTTCTTTGGGAGGCAGTTCTGTTTCATCAAACTTAGTGATACCATCCGTGTAGTCATATGGGTACACATCTTTTCGTGAGACTAGATGGATTTGGTCTTTTAATACCTTCTCAGTTTCTTTGAGCTTAGTCTCTCTATGGCCCAACCTTCGGCTTTCAAGACTCAAACTACCAACCAATTTATCAAGAGAAGAAGCCATTAACTTTGAAGCTGTCGATAAAGCGAAGCTCATTCTTGATGTCAACCTCTTTACCTTCTTTGCTGATGAAAGAGCCAACAACAACAACATCTTTGCTGAAGTCAATGTATTAACCTCATTATTAGGAAAGCATTTGATGTTTCCTCAAGCCTTACCAAGATTCCTAACGAGTAGATGAGTGTTATAGTTAGCTAAGTGGTGAAAGATGTCAGGAGTGAACTTTGGCTTCTTGAATTGCAGCTTGCATATGAAGTGAGCCGTTCCACGATACTTCCCTATGAAATGGCAGTGGTCTCTCACTTTGTCATTATTATGTGAACCCTTGCAACTCCAGCAGTGAGCAGTAATGTTGAAATCACGCCTGTCTTCATCTTAATGTCATCTCCTTCTTTGAAGTTGAATTCCTTTTCAATCGTCTTGATATTATTTTCAGGCAGTTCAATGAAGATCTGAGCAACAACTTTGCTCTGTAGATGACTGGTGCTTGAGAATACAGCTTAGCTTCGAAACTGTCGATGTGATAGCAGAACCCAAATGAGTTATGCTTTTGATGCTGATTAGTGAAATCCTTATCACTTCTTGGCAGACGTTTACTTACTGGTTTAGTAGAAGACTCAAAGTCGGCATAAATCACAAAGGGTACTCTTATTGAGCGGTTATGATTCTTGAATTTAAACATAGTACCTTTATCTGGCATCTCAATCCTGACTGCCTCGTTTCTTGAGCAATACTGTCCATGGAGTGCAAGCTTTGCTTTCCTTGAGAAATGGTTCAGAAACCTGACACAATACATCTTTTGCATCCTTATGCTTTGAGGTTTGACTCGAGAGTAGCCTGCTCGTCATCTGATAGCCTTCGGCCGGACCACGTAGCGGTTATGAGAAGAAGGTTTATGACATGCTTTCTTTTTATTCTTTACTCTTTGCTGATCCTCGATGGATAAAAATCACGTTCATAACTAGGCAAGTTAACCGCAATGTTTTCACTCTGCTTTTCAAACTTGCTTATCTTGTCAAGCTCGACAGGGAAGACAATACCGCTTCAGTTAAGCTTCTTAGATTGTGCTTCGAGAATCTTTGTTATTACATTCTTTTGGGGTTTGAGACTACAATGTTAAGTGCTCTTGTTACCGCCCACTCAAAACATTCTTCATCTTCATTCTCCATGTTTATGATTGCCTCCTTTTATGCAATGAATTCTTAGAGTTTGATGTAAGAGCTGCCGTTGAAAAGATTGTACTCAACAAGATAGATGTCAAGTGAGATGACTCTTTGAAACCCCCAGTTACTTCCGTTATTTTTAGAGTTCTGAAGCTGTTCTTGAATTGTATTCGTAAAATTTTCATATTCTTCGGACTCGGCTTCAAGAAGCTGGATCGATCCGTCTACTGCTCCGTGGCCTATCCCTTCAGGACTTACTCCTGCGCGGACCTTGTAAAACCTTTCGAGGCACCGGCTGATTCATAAGCTACAAATTGTGTGCGTTTGGCCGTGTCGATTTAGCGAGAAGGCTGTTTGTGTTTATCTCTGAGGTAATTCACCTTATCTTCGAGTGACTTTTTCTGCTTTATCAGCAGAGTATTTCGTTTCTTCTTCTTATCATTTTTAAGTTTGCGGTTGACTTCTCTGAGCTTCTTATGTAATCGTCCGATCTTATTCTCGTTCTCTCTCGGAGTTAAAAGAATTTGTTTATCAATCTTTTTCATTCGCGACAGAAGAATTGGTCTAGTCTGATTTCTTAAAATATCAATCAATTTAGCCTTTCTTAAGTGGCTGTAACCTCTGAGTCTTTATGCTTCTGCAATCAACTCTGGAACTTTTTTGTTTTTCCATTTTTGTAAGATATAAAAAATAGAATTTTTCAAAAATTTTACTTTTTAAAGACAAAAGCTTCAGTGTCTTTCAAATCGGCACTCAATCGAGTCAATAGCTAATCGCTTATTTTTTGTTCCTTTAGCGAAGTGACCACCTGTTCTGAACAAATCCATTGCTTCTTTCCGTATTCTAAATGTGAATTGTTTGGCATCTGAGTTTTTTATGAAGATGTATGGCTTTGATCTTATCTTATTATCAACTTTCTCAATGCTAAGTGATTCTAACAGTTCTCTCTTAGTTCGTAATGTGTAACTTTTGATATTTTTTTTCTCTTGCCATTTTCATCAGCTTGAAATGATTTATCTTGACGACTGGTTCCCCTGAGACCATTGGGGTCATTCTTTCTCAAATTTGAGCAGTACTTTAGACCTTCTTACGCTGCAACGAAGCGCAATCCGAATAATTTCTTTGTCTTCAAATCTACCTCTTCGTGGAACCTGGCCAAAGGCGTGCGGCTCCGCGCCCTGGCCCCGAAGGGTATTCTTTTGTCAATGAAAATATTTTCTATTTTTGCTAAAAAAAAATCTTAAAAAAATAGAATAACAGACTGTCACGTTAAAGACAATAGAATGCATTCCAGATCTCCCTAACAGCCAGCGCAGATGAAAAAGATTCTTAATTATTTCAAGATTATCAAGTTGTTGTTAGGGAGATCTGGATTCTATTGTCTTTCACTTGACAATTTAATATTTGCTAAACTTCAGAACGTGATAATCTATTGAAGTCACTCAGGCATTCCATAAACGTTTGCGGGTTATCAAAGATTTAGCTGTGTTGAGTTTGCATATGTCGTGAGATTAGTCAACAAAACCCGTTTGACCTTTTGTCAAATTCAAATCTTATTTCGTTATGTTTACGGGTGATTTTTCGGTAATCTTGTTTGATCTGTTCCCTTGTAACCTTAACATCAAACTCAGATGAGCTTTTTGCTTTATTTCTCAACTGTCTTTTCAGTAAATCGTATTACTCAATCTCCGGTTAGATTGCAAAATTTAGAGGAATATTCACAAGAACAAAAGTTCCGCACTCTTCAGGTGCAGAATCAAAGATATAGTTTGCATGGCTGAATTTGAGCTACTGCCCTCAAAACTCTGTATGGTGTGCAACGACAGGCTGTAGAATCTCTCGCGAAGTTCTCGATAAGGTTCCAGAATAGATTTTCATATCTACTTCACCGTCAAAAAGATTCTCTTTCAATGCCGTGGAATTCAGAGTGAATCGGCTCTTCCAGGTGACCCAGCTTCCAGCCAGATAAATAATATCTATGACAAGCCATCGTTCAATCGAATATGCGCAGAAATTGGAATTTTATCAGCTTCAGACTTTTGTTTCAAAGAAGGTGATAATCACGATTTCGTATCTGTGTTCATCTATGTGTTGTATGTTGGTCCGGAAGCAGATAATTCAATAACTTATCCTGGAAGAAAAAAAATCAGCGGTGAGGGTGGAAAAGAGACTGAATTAGTCAATTGAGGCATTCGTTTATTGCATTCTTGGTGCACAAGTCAATGTCAGATCATCAATCTTGGGTTAATCAGAAAGTGCTACGGAAACTCAATGTGAGTTTCTCGTATTGGTTGAGGATGCAATCAGAAACCTAGACATTTCGAAGAGCGTTTGGAGGTTTCAGATTGCGATTAATAAGGCAAAAGTCTGGCTTTATCTTGCACTCTCACCAGGCACTTAGTTCATGCCCTGAAATCTTCTTCTGAATACTCAGAGTACGGTTAGGTATAATAACAGCCTGAAAAAGGCAAGTTCTGATATGAAGCTTGGAGTCAACAAATCAGTGAATCTGGAGATGAAATCAGTCGGAATTAAGCAGATGGATGGGGGTTCATCATAGATCCGTAGGATTCAAGCCTTTGGCCAGGCCGTGGAGCGGCAAGCCCCAGAGGCAAACCTTTAGCCAGGCTGCGGGGCGGCACCTCTCAGCCTTCAAATAAAATTAACGCGACTTCAACTGAGGTTCAAGTGAACACAAAATAATCAACAGGCAAGACAAACTGTGATATGGTAAAAGTCAGATTGATTTCAGCTGGACTGGTATCAGCGTTCTTGATTAGGTCACTCCACGATCCCTGGCGTTCTTGATTGGATCGCTCCAAGATCCCTGACTCTGAGAGCTTGGGCCGCAGAGCGGCCCCTGGCACAAAATGCTTCATTGCTTGTTCTTCAGAAAGCGCTAAAGTGGAATGCGCGGAAAGTTGAATGCTCAGTGAAATCCGGCCGAATTTTGGTTCATAAAAAAAGTTTTTTCATAGGAAAATGAGAAAACAAACTGTTCAAGACGAGTGTTTTATGAATTAATGACAGCCGAACTCACCGGAACATGAAGATTGCTCGGGATGACAGAGCTGTGAAACTCGGCTGCAGCGAC